GAAGGGCATGCAGTGACTCTGACTAAGGACTGCAAGCCTATTTAGAAATGCTTTTTGTAGTACTAATTGTGGTTTTGTAGTACTAATTGTAGTAATAAATGTGGAAAACCCATGTTTGAGGAGAACTGCAAAAAGTATGGTAGAGGCTTTCAGAAGATCACAGTATGATGAAGAAATACAATACATAGGTTGTGAATGCTCCATCCCTGGCGGTGTTCAAGGCCAGGTTGGACGAAGCCTTGAGTGGCACGGTTTAGTGTGAGGTGTCCCTGCCCATGGCAGGGGGGTTGGAACTAGATGATCTTAAGGTCCTTTCCAACCCTAACTATTCTATGATTCTGTGAATCTATAAAATGGTGATATTTTGTTGCTTTTTTTGAAGATCTTTTTATTTTGGTTTTCTTAGGTAGTTTGCCTGTACCAGACACTTGGTAATCCACTCAGCAAGCTAAGTACCCTCAACAGCATGCACTCTCATTTTTTAATGGCAGATGATGGGACTGTAGGGAAGTATGGGAATGAAATGATGCTCAGGAGGAATTTGGAGAAGTACATATCACATCAAAAAATACACACAAGTGAGTACTGCTGATTACTTTTCTATGTGTATTGGTAAATAAATGGATATTGACCACATTTCAAACACTGTCAATGTCCTTGCATGTAAGAGCTATTGGAAAGAACAGATTGATATTTTGAAGGATGTTTCTTCTTTCTAGTGCTAAGGATACTTACAATTTATCAGGAGGTTTTAATGGTCTTTTTGATGTGGTTGCAGAAGTTCTGTGAAAATCTTAAAAAGTGTAAGTCAAATTAGAGATGGTGAAGGCATGATTTCCTCTCCATTGAGCCATATGTGAGACTCCTTCATAAGTATTTATTTACCAGATATTCTGATTTTTTTGTGTGTGACTTAGACCTGTTTGTAACTGATTAGGTGTGTTTTGAAACAGGAATGGGCCAAGGTGTACCTGTAGTTGGATTGGTGGTGGAAGGAGGCCCCAGTGTGATCCTAATGGTGTGGGAGTACGTGAGGGCCAGCCCAACTGTCCCTGTGGTGGTCTATGAGGGCACTGGCAGAGCTGCAGATATCCTGGCTTTTACCCACAAATACACAGGTGATACAGGGTGAGTAGTGGCATAATGCTCCTCCTCCTTGGATCTCTGAGATAATATCTTATGGTTTTAGTAATGAGCCTGCCATGGTCTTTTGCTGTTCTTTACTTCTGTGAAGTGAGAGCAGTTTCTTCCTTCCCTGTCTCAAACTCTCAAACTAATGCTGAAAGAATTATTCTGCCCAATTTAAGATGGTGCCTTTTTCTTTTTTTTCTTTTTTTTTTTTTAAGAGGGAAAAGAAACTACATCTAGCCATTTTGAGTTGTTATGTTTTCACCCTTGGTAAGGGGTACTATTGGGTTGTCCCAGAGGGTCTGCTTGGGTTTCAATTCAATCTTTTCTCCTGCCATCAATATTGTATAAGTAGACTTGGATTTGGGTTGCACAAAACTTTTGGGGCTAGGGCTGAGGTTAGTTGCTGTAGGACCCTCAGGCTGGGGAAGGAAAAGGAATAAGGTTCCTTGTCTTTGACTTTGGTTTACTTAGTCAGTGGTAACCCTGGTTTGTCATACTCATCTAGCTGTTATGCTTTATGCAGCCTCAGCTGCACTCTGTTACACCCACCTTGATGAAAATTTTGCATCCAGACTGGAAACAAATACACATATATTTGCATAGCAAATTAATATTTTGGGAAAAATTTTTCAAGGACTGTTAAAATAAAGAACCAATTTTAAAAAGATGGTCTGGGTTTGTTCAAATAAAAAAAAAAGAACAATTTAAACTTTATATCCTAATTATTTATTTATTATCTTTTATAAACACTCTTTTGGGGGGGTTTGCATTTCTCTAGTGTGTTCTTTTGAGAAGTTTTTCTTCTCTTGCTTTTTCTTTGACATTTTTGACCTTTAAAAAAAATTCCCGCCATTTCAAAAAGAAATGTAAATGTGTATGAAAAGGTTAACAGGAATATAAATGAGGGGAAAAAAGATGAGAGAAGTATGAAACCTAATGAACAATGAGGAATTTAATGTTATCCCTATATGTTTATTGAAAAAAATAACAAGTTTGCTAAACTTCTGGTGATTTTTAGCTCTGTATTCACAGACAATCCTGTGAGAATTGTATCTTTTTAATTTGTTCTGTTTCCAGTAGCCTATATATATATATCTGGTCAGAAGTAATGCCTGATTAACACAAGTTTTGTCTTTTGCTGAGGTATCGTTTGGGCTGATAAGAATTAGCCAGAAATACACTTTTTCTTGGTTGTATATCTGTTTTTCAGGGAGCTGCGCCCTCAAGTGAAGAAGGAAGTCTTAGTGATGATCCAAAACACATTTAGCTTGGGACAGAAACAATGCAGTCATCTATTTCACATTTTGATGGAATGCATGGAGCACAGAGACTCTGTGAGTAGGGTTCGTGCTCTGAATTTAGGATGTCTTCATTTGCAGTTACCCTTTTGACTTTTTGCTCTTTCTGCATTGGGTTGGCATGGACACAGCATTGTAAAAGTAATGATGTTATCTCTAAAATAAGATTACATGAATGTGTCTGGGCTTATTTATATATTAAGTAGCTCTACATAGCCTGTTTAGTTAACCTTTCAAATCTCAGTGCTTGTTTATGAAATGACAGCCTTTCTAACTTTACTAAAAAGTCAGACATCTTTGTATTCACAGGAAAGATCAAGTAATTCCTACTTTTTTCCCTTCTTTATTAGTGTCTTATTTGTAAGTTTAAAATGTTTCTGTCTATTTTTCTACTTATAACAGAATTGTACTAAAATTTGTCGCTGAGTATTAAAGTGTACCTTTGAAATGTGCTGGCATGTTTAGTAGCTCAAGTGCTTATTTGCAAGTAGAATTATACAATGGTTTGGATTGGAAGAGACCTTAAAGATCACCTAGTTCTAATCCCTCTGCCACGGACAGGGATAACTTCCACTAGACCAGGTTGCTCAAAGCTCCCCCAACCTGGCCTTGAACACTGCCAAGGATGAAGCATCCACAGCTTCTCTGGGCAACCTGTGCCAGTGCCTCACCACCCTCACAGCAAAGAATTTATTTCTAGTATCTGATCTAAATCTACCCTCCTTCAGTTAAAACCGTTACCCTTCTGGGGTGGTTTAAACCCAGTGGTAACTTGCAACCATGCAGCTGCTCATTCACTCCTTTCTTCTTCCCTCCCACCTTCATCCTATCACTACACTCTCTGATAAAGAGACCCTCCCAATCTTTGCTGTACCACAAGTAATAAAAGGCTGCTAGAAGGCATCCCTGGAGTCCTCTCTTCTCCAGGCTGAACAAAAACCCAACTCTCTCAGCCTGTCCTTACAGGAGAGGTGCTCCCGCCTTCTGGTCATCCTTGTGGCCCTACTCTGGACTTGCTCAAAAAGGTCCATATCCTTTTTATGTTGGGGGCCTGAGAACCAAACATATAAAGGTCTCACGAGAGTGGATTAAAGGGGGAAAATCACCTCTGTCTACCTGCTGGCCATCCTTCTTTTGATGCAGTCCAGGATGTGACTGGGTTTCTGGGCTGCAAGCACATTTTGCTAGTCATGTCCAGTTTTAAACCCACCAGTAACCCCAAGTGCTTCTCCACAGGACTGTTCTCAGTCCACTCATCACCCAGCCTGTATCCCTGTTTGGACGGCCCCATGTGCAGGACCTTGCACCTGGACTTGTTGAACTTGACAAGGTTCACACAAGGCCACCTCTCGAGCATGTCAACGTCCCTCTGAGTAGCATCCCTTCCCTCCAGTGTATTGAGTGCACCACACATCTTGGTGTCATTGGCAAACTTACTGAGGGCACACTCAATCCCACTGTCCATGTCGCCAACAAAGGTGTTAAAAAATCCTGGTCCCAATACCAGCCAATGAGGGACACTTGTCACTGGTCTTCACCCAGACATTGAGCCTGCATTGACTGCAACTCTTTGAGTGTGACTATCTAGCCAGTTCCTTATCCACCTGCTAAATCCATGTTTCTCCATTTACAGACAAAGGTTTTGTGTGGGACAGTATCAAATGCTTTGTATAAACCCAGGTAGATGATGTCAGTTGCTCTTCCTTTATCCACCAAAGCCATGGGACCATCGTAGAAAGCCACTGAATCTGTCAGGCAAAATTTGCCCTTCATGATGATGTGTTGGCTGCCACCAATCACCTTCTTATTGTCCATGTACCTTATCACATTTTCCAGGAGGATCTGCTCCATGATCTTGCTGGACACAGAGATGATACTGTCTGGCCTGTAGTTCCCTGGTCTTCCTTTTTAGCCTTTTTAAAACAGGGGGTCATGTTTTCCCTTTTCCATTCACTGGGAATTTCACTAGTCCATTATGACTTTTCAAATGTGATGGAGGACCAAGTATTTGCTATGGGAGTAATGACAATTGTAACAGTAATCACTAAAATATGTATGTTTTTATTCTTGTTTGTTTGATTTTTTGTTTCACTTTGAGTGGCTGTTGAGTTTAATACTGAGTAGATATCAGCCATACTGCATTTTTACATTTCTCAGATTTAAAGGCTAGTCAAAAGCAAGTAGACTCAATTTGTTATGGAGTAGGTTGATTCCAATTTGCCTGGGATGCCATTGCATTAAAAAGCAAAATGGTACATTTTCTGGGTGAAACAAAGGAAAATCATGTCTGGGACTTTGCCATTGTTTGTGTTGAAATGTGTATGATTTAATCTATCCCAGCCCTTACAAAGAAGAAATAACTGCAGACTTCTCTGCCTCACCTCAAATAGTATACTTCTGCAATTCTAACAGATAACCATATTTGATGCGCTGTCAGAAGATCAGCAGGACATTGATTTGGCGATTCTGACTGCACTCTTGAAAGGTACCTATCTAAAAATACATGTTTTCCAAAGCAAAGGAGTAACACCAATGTGTGAAAACTTCTTGTTCCTTTACTTGTTTCCTAGGTACAAATATGCCTGCTTCGGATCAGCTAGATTTGGCATTGGCCTGGAACCAGATAGATGTTGCCAAGAAACACATACTGGTTTATGGACAACGCTGGAAGGTACTACTACCTTTTATTTTTAATAGCAGCTTTGCACTTTATTATGATGACTGCTTTTCCATGATTTGATGCTTGGAGTCTGTCTTCTGGAGTAATCATTTTTTATTTTGGAGAGGTGTTACTCTTGAAGTTGCAAAGTGTTCAACTGCGGAGTGCATCAGATGAAAAATCAAATACATTTGTTTCCCCAGAGACAAGGTGATTCCTGTAGTTTCACTGCTAGCTCTTCCAAATAGTTTCAGTGGTCCTTCTGGATATGTATTCATCAAGCCAGTGTTGACAGTTGGTGGTGGTCAAGGATATTTCATTGTAGCCCAGAGTACTGATTCGGAGAAAACTCCAGGCACAAACTTGCCAACAAAGTTTTCAAGCTGACAAGCAGGTATTCTTTATTGCGGTGCTGGGAGACGCGGGGGATAGCTCCTCCTAATGTGTGTCTCTCAATTGCCACACAAGACATCCTTTTATAGCCACTGGGCATACATACATATTCATGAGGCTACGTATGGATTACATAATTTTCCAGAAAGTTCCCTGCATGAGTACAGAATTGTGGTGCTGGTCTCTGAGGGTTGTTTACTTCTTCCAACAATCTTCATCACTTCTGGCAGCCTTTGAAGCATGCACAGTCATACCAGTTTAATTGGTTCATTAGCACCAGAGACATAATAATCCTCCTATCCTCCTACTTATCAGTTAGTTTAACTGTAGCCCATCCTGGACACCTGCGGTTCCCAGATACTCCTTATCCCTGTGTCCTGTTCTTCTAGACTGTTTTTCTTAAACTACATCACAACTATAACGATTTATCTTGTGAGGATTCTCAGTATGTTCTCTAGCTGTACTCTATTTTTTTCTCTATGTATCATGCACCTCAGTAATTTTGTTGCTACTGTTACAAAGCCATCAAACTTAACATTACTTAAAACTAATTCTAAAGGTTTCTATATTCCATTTTGTGATTTTGTGCCCCCTTGTCTCAGTACTCCAAAGGTGTAAACTCCAAAGAAACGTTGCCTCTGTTTTCCTAGCCTTAGACAGAAATACAGAAATCACAGCCCTTTATGGTGTTACCAGGTAGAAAAAAAAAAGGTAGAATTAATTGTGATAACACGGCACCAAGACATTCTTATGAATAGCTGAAATCAAGGCAAGCCGTGATTTAGTCCTACATTAACTTTTATGCATGTGGAAGAACGCACAGACCTATAAAAAGCACAGACCTGTGCTTTTCAAGTTTTCAGATGTAGTCCAGTATTTAAGTATAACCCTCCCTAAGTGAATTTTTATATACATAACGTGCTTTTTATAGATGATAAATATAAAACGGTATGTACCTCAACACATACTATTCCCATTTGTTGTAAGAGTAAATGTTTTCTTCCAGAAATTATATCTGATGTGCCCAGAAGTACATTAGAAGTTTTCCATTGCAAGAATTACAATTTTTCCAGTCCTGATTGCCTTTTCTTCTTTACAATGTAAATTTTAGAAAATGGGCAGTGGCTGTAATTTTTTTTTTCAGTGACTGTAGCTGATTGTCTGACACAACAAGAGAATTGAGTTTATTGATCATCAGTCCATGTTTTCCTGTGGTGTATAAGGTTGAATACATGGAGGACTGTGCCTGAGATGCCTACAGTTGAACAACGATGAATTATAGGATTTTTTTGTTGCTGTTGTTACCTTTTTGGGCTCAGTTCACTACCTGTAAAGTTGAGATGATCATGTCATGTTCTTGCACAAAACCTGGTAAAAATGAATGGTTTCTGGTCCCCGCTGAAAAGTAAGGAAGGAAATTGCTGGTTTCATTTTCAGGATTTAAACAGTGTGTGAATAATGAGGGATTTGCCAAACCTGGAGCATAAAGTCAGAACAAAATGTTGAATACCTTCCTGCTAAGGGATTCTCATTCACTCTGTGAATTGAATAAAACTAAGCCCTTTGGGGAAAAATACAAATAAGCAATGAATTCCATTATTCATGGTGATGAATTATCTGATAACTTTTGAGTGTTCAACTGCATAACCTTAACAGTATTCCTGTCCAGCAGGATGTTTGTTGTTATGGAATGTGGAAAAGATTTGTCTTTACACAATGCGTGCATATATTTGCCTTTATGATTTTTTTTTAAATACCCTGTTATGTTTTGATACTTTGAAAAAAACTCATTTTTCACAATGTCTTCTTGCATTGTTTTACAGCATGTACATTTTTTTAAGTGATACAGAATCATAGAATTGTTTAGATTGGAAGACACCTTTGACCTTTTAAGATCATTGAGTTGAACTGTAAACTTAACACTGCCAAGTCCACCACTAAACCATGTCCCTGAGTGCCACATTTACTCATCTTTTAAATATATCCAGGAATAGTGATTCAAATAATTTCTTGAGCAGCCAATTCCAATGTTTGACAAACTTTCTGGGGGGGAAAAAAATATCCTAATATTCAATCTAAATGTCCCTTTGAGCAACTTGAGGCCACTTTCTCTTGTACTGTCACTTGTTACTTGGGAGAAGAGACTGAAACCCACGTTGGTACAACCCCTTTTTGGGTGTTTTTTGTAGACTTCTTCAGGCTAAGCAACTTAATTCCCCTAGCCACTCTTCATTAAGACTTATTCTCTAGACCCTTCACCAGCTTCATTGGCCTCCTTTGGTTGAGCTACAGCACCTATATGTCTTCATTGTAGCACAGAGCCCAAAACTGCCTGCAGTATTGGAGGTGTGGTCTCACCAGTACATAGTACAAAGGGACAATAACTTCCCTGGCCCTGCTGACCGTCCTATTTCAGATACAGACCATGATGCCATTGGCCTTCTTGACTGCCTGGGCACAAGCTGGCTCATGTTCAGCTCTGCTGTCAGCAGCTCCAGGTCCTTTTCCACTGAGCAGTTTTCCAGCTGCTCTTCCCCAGGCCTGTATTGTTGCATGGGGCTGTTGTGACCAAGTGCAGGACCCGGCACTTTGCCTTGTTGAACCTCATATGACTGTCCTTAGTCCACTGGTGCAGTCTTTCCAGATCCCTCTGTAGAACCTCCCTTCCCTCAAGCAGATCAGGGCTCCCACCCAACATGGTGTCATCTGCAACCTTACTAGGGTGCATTTGATTGCTTTGTCCAGATCATTGATAAAGATATTAAACAGAACCAACCTCAATAGTGAACGCTGGGTAACACCATTTTTGAGCATCTGCCAACTGGATTTAATTCCGTTCACCACAGTCTTTGAGCTGGACCACCCAGGCAGTTTTTTGCACCGTGAAGAGTATGCCTTTCCAAGCCATGAGCAGCCGGTTTCTCCAAGAGAATGCTGTGGGAAATAGTGTTAAAGACTTTACCAGGTAGATAGATCTTAAACTGAGAGGGTTAAATTTTGGTGGCTGTATTTTAATTTGATGCCTTCCCTTCCTTGGTGGAGGCTCAGGGGAAACCTTGCGACTCTCTACAAATACTTGAAAGTAGTTTGTAGTGAGGTGGGTATCGGTTTCTTCTCCCAGATGATAGGACAAGAGGAAATGACTGCACCAGGAGAGGTTCAGATTGGATATTAGGAAAAATTTCTTCACTGAAAGAGTGATCAAGCATTAGAACAGGCTGCCCTGGGAAGTGGTTGAGTTGGCGTTCCTGAGGGTATTTAAAAGATGTGTAGATGTGGCACTTGTGTATGGAAAATAACAAATAATAGTTTCCTAGTCCCAACATCTTTAACACGGTAGATTTTAGAGAACTATTGCGTAGTTGTTGTCTTCCCACTTCTCCTGGCTTTTCCAAGGTGATTATCTGTTTAGTGTTCAGTTTTTCCATATTCCTGACAGCCTTCTTTATTCTTCTGTGTACTTTTTTTAAGGTCTTAAAGAAATATTTTGGGATAGGCAAGCCAGCACTCTAGTCAGTATTCAAGACAAAGGGCTTTTCACAGAGATATTTAGTGAAATACTAATATTTTATAGATTATTCTATATTCATCTAAGTATAGAACCTAATAGTCTGTGTGACTTTTTTACTTGTTTCCCGTGTACAGTCAACTTGTATTTACGCTTTTGGAAGATACTGTCAATATACACTGCTTATATGTACTATATACCATATATACTTATATATACTACATATACTATATATATGATAGTGTATATATAATATATAGTATATATACTTATATATATCATATGCTATATGTACTTATGCTTTTGGAAGATACTGTCAGATACACTGACATTTTTTCTGAGTTTCAAGACTGACATGCAGGTAGGGTTGTTTCCCAAATACATGTTATTTCACATTTACCTGTCTTGAATATCACCTGCTTTTTTGGCTGGTTAGCCCATATTATGAGTTTTTTCTGCACTTCAAGATCAGTTTTGTTATGATGAGTATTTTTGTATCATCAGCAAATATTGTTGAATCATTAGACAATATGTGTGATTTTCCTGGTCTCTCACTACTATTAATAATCTCCTTCCCTATAATTTTATCCGTTATTAAACAGCTGGGAGACCTTTGCCTTATGACAGCTTAATTTGCTTGGAAGTCTGTCAAGAAAACCATCACCAAAAGCTTTTGTGGGAATGCAAACTTACTGTATCAGTTGGACAGCTTTATCATTGTCCCTGCCAAAATTCTGGTAGAGTTCTGATTTCATTCTACAAAGTAATGGCCTTGCTTCCTCTTACTCTACTGTATTTACCCATGTTGCTATTATTGCTATTCTATATTACAGTTTTATTATATTTGCCCAAAGTTCTAATTGTATTGATGTGCCATACTTTAACAACTTGTACACTTCTTTCCCCTTTTTACAATTGGCATGTTTTCCACCATCTTGCATTCTGCTGTTAGAGGGGCAGATTTCAGCTATCCTTCAGTTCCCTAGGAACATTTAGGGGAATACCACCTGGTTTTGACAACTTGCTACTGCTTTACAGATGGATTCTATTATCTTTTCTACTACACCTTAATTTGACACAGTTCCTCAGATTTGTCTGCCATAAAGAACAGCTTTCATGTAGGACCTTTCCTAACATGTTCTGTAGTGAGTGGTGAGGCAATGAGTTAGTTTACAATTTCTGCAATACCCTTATCTTCGTGTGTGTTTCTTTTATAACTTGATCATCCTCTGGCCTTACAGATTCACTGGGAATCCCCATACTCCCAAGCTCCTGTGCTTTCTGATAAGTTTGAAAATGATATATGTACCTGAAAAAGATATATGTTCACATCTATTTCAGTGCCATAGTTCAGCACCATTTTGAGTGAAAAGTTATTGTCAAGTAATGAATATGTTCTCTCCTTCAAGTAACACATAAAGAGCTTGTAATAAACAGGTTTTATATCACTTGGTGCTTCTCCAAGCAAAAATTAGAATGTCACATATTCCTGAAAGTTTTTCTTTTCACTAAACAGGAGAAAAGGTCTTAATAACAGTGTTTTCTTCATACATTGTAAAGAAGAGCTAAAAAAAAATAAGGAAGAGCACAGTTTTAAAATTTGCTTTTGGCTTAGTTGCCTTCTTGAAAAGAGGAGTAGCCATCTGACTGGGAGAATCTGCCAGACCTGCAATTATCAGGGTCTGAAGTTTGTGTGTAGTTATTTTGGTTTTGTGTTTAGATTTTGAGTTAAATATTTAAGCACCAATTTTTTAGGTGTTGTTCATGCAGTATTAGTCTTCTTCTAAGTGTTTTAAGGAAACATGTACATTTATGTACAGTTTGTGGGCATTTCTTTTTAGAACTCTGGTCCTAAATGTTCAGAAGGTAAAGATTGTAAGCAGCTGTAGCCATGTTTCTGCGTAAATGTCAACTCAGTCTCAAATGGACTTTATAATGAATAATGTCACCCTAGTAGTTACCAGATGGCTGTTTAAACCTCTTTAGACACATTGCCAGTGCAAGGAATGACTGCTGGAGGAAATTTAATACAAGAGTGGTCACTTTGAAATATTTCTGGAAGAAACACTGATAATTCAGGAGCAGTGCACAAGTTTTCACATGTGACAATTCTGTAACATTTATTGGTCATTTTTTAGCATTATTTCCACCAAATATAAAGATATATGTGGAATGGACTTCCTTCAGGTGCCAGGTTAGCACTAGCACCTGCTCCGTACCTGCCCCATTTGTATGCCAGCATCCTCATTCTGCTTACCCCACTGCATTTTCTGTTCATATGTGTTCTGTAAAAATTCCTTCTGTGGATTTAGATGAACCTCCTATGTCCAATTCCTTTGCTATTTTGCATGTAGAAATCCTGCTGAGCTCTGTGGAAGTGCCATGCTTTCACTGTTTGGACACTGTTGTAGGTAGAACTCTGCTTTGTGGTGTCTTTGAGAGAGTTTATCCTAATGCAGATTCTCTGTCAGATTTGAAAAGAAGTCTGCTTTAAAGAACTTGAAGTTCTACAGGGAGATCTTGAAATACAGCACCTTGAATTGGCTTTTGTCATATATCAAAAAAGAAAAGCTTCCCTCCACCTCCTGCATTATCATACATTAGCTTCTGAAGTGAATGAAAGAGTAGGGAATGTGTTATCAGAGTCTGGTTGTAAAGTTAGATTTGTAGAAGTCTCTGCAGATGTTGAGTTTATGAAGACTCAGTTTTACTCCCACTCTGTTGGATTTTTTTACACAGATGATTCCTCAAGCATGTTTTCCTTTTGTACTGTGCACTTTAAGTATATGTAAAGACAAATCAGACTGTTCAGGAATGTTTTATTCATTTCCAAAAGAAGATAATTTTCTAAGCTTCTCCTTCATCTCCATCCTTGTGGAGGTTGGTGCCTTGGAACAGGCAATGCTGAATGCTTTAGTGATGGACCATGTGGATTTTGTGAAGTTGTTAATAGAGCATGGAGTGAACATGCACCGTTTTCTTACCATATCTCGTTTGGAGGAACTCTACAATACAGTGAGTATTTGAAAACCACATACAACTTTCGGTAAGAATGGCTAGAAAGTATGCTGTTTTTTACTTAGGAGACTTGATATTTAGGCCACATTTTGGAGAAAAAAAAAAAGGGTTTTGAAAATTTCTTATTATAATGTTGGATTTTTGGATTGGTGTCACAGCTTCTTATTTTAAATTCTTTGACATGAACCAGACTGAGTACTCACCTGAGGCTCATGAGAAATATGATTTTAGTCTGGTAAGTGATACATGCTTATCTTGCTGAAAATGATTTGTCATTTAAGCAAAGTGATACCAGCTTTTCTGTAGAATATGTCAAGATTTAAGATAGTAGAGGTGTTGCAGATTAGTCTTGAAAAGTTTTTGAAGAGGTTTGTGGGCGGAGTTTGAATCACAGGAACTTTGACGATCTTTTAGCTGCTTTATTTTACTGTATTGATATTCTAATGTACAATGATGTTTGTTTACTGTCTTTTCACACCACAGAAGCAAGGACCATCAAACCTACTTTTGCATCACCTAGTTCAAGATGTGAAACAGGTAATAGACTCAGGAAATTCTGGGGAGCAAAAATGATAGCTTAGAATGTCACTGTCCATAGGCACACTATTACTAAGTAATACAGGGGAATTTTAGAAGTGATGGGTTCGTTACTACACTTCTGTATCTACTAAATGGTTTTATTTTCATCCCACTGATCCCCCTAAGCAATTAACTAGCATACTACTACTGAATGCTCCAAAGGGTTCTTCCTATACCTTAATTTGAAAGCTAGGCAGTTTGTGTAGATCAGATTATAAAGTTACTAAAATGACATTATGAATTGATTGTACAAAACACATAGTGAATTAGTGCAGTAATTATGCTCATGCCTTTAAGCTTTTCTTTTTTTTTCCCCAAAGCTAAAAATGTGTTTCCTTGTTGAGCAGTAACAAAAAGATACTGTGACAAAATACTGCATTATTTTAATACGCGGCATTGCCTAGGAGAACAGAAGGTGGCAGTGGATGACTGTGGCATGGAGCACTGCCTCCATTAGTAATTTAGTAGCAGCTTTGTTACTTAGCTACACAGTGAATTTATTTTGTGTTTCTGTAATCTACCTCACAGCACTGATTAGAAAGGGATGAGCTGTTCCTTTTGCATCCAGTCTCCACTGCACGAGATGCCTAAATCCAAAACTAGATTAATTGGCTAATTCTTTCCTGGGTATAAATGTTAAGATAAAACACAGTTATAAATCTGACTGTTGGCAGGCTGTGGTTTCAAGTAGTGGGGTTTCTAGTACTGCTTTTCTTATTGTGGGTGACTTTCATGTCAGTCTCATTGGTGGCTTGGTAGATAGGTGTAGGGTATTCTGGTCTCCGTAGTAAGCTATTTTCTGTATTTTCTCAGACCGATGAGCATATCTGAGGCCTTATGTGATAGATCTGGAAGATGTCAGTGTTGAAAATGCATTGAACTTTCCCAGGCTGAGAAATACGTCTTTCTCACTGATACTGAAGTGATTTGCTCCTTGATATGACCCCTCTCCTAAACCCCATGGCCTGGTTGCATCTCAGGACACTATAGGAAAACTCAGGTTGTGATCTAAAAAGGGAAGCTTTTGGCACTTGAATTGGAATAGTGGAATTTACATAGAAAATGGGTGCACAATTTCAAAACTTACTTTGCTGTTGGGTAAGCTAAACTCACTTGGGACCTGCAAAGAGGCTGAAAAGCCTTTTTCACCTGAGCCACTGGAAGTATGAGTAAGTGTTCTGTGGATGGGTTGTGCAGTTGCAATCTTATTAAATATGGTAACACAGTAGCCAGGACAGTCAGCAAAGTGTTGTGACCATGGATTTCAGAAAATTTTCTCCATTAGTGTCACCAGCTTTGCTGCTGCTAGATTTGAGTGGAGATACATGGCGGTTTGCCCTGATAGCATAAAAAAAATGCTTCCTAGTGAAGACAAGTATCTACAAGTATAGGTTGTCAGAAATACTTCCCTAATTCTCAATGACAGAGCTGACAAGCTCTGTCCTGTGAGACTTGCTTTTGCCCCAGTGTGCTCAGCCTGTTGGTGCCTTCTGTTCCCAGGACTGGGTGGCCTTAGCTGGCTGTACTGAGGCTTGCTACTAGTGTACTGAAGAAAACCTCAGTCTAATGAAGAAAATTACTTTTCACAGTCTGAAAGACGTACCCTGTTAAGAATGCATATCCCCTCTGATCGCATCTATATACAGGCCCATTTTTCAGTTCCAAGAGTTGTGGTTTAAGGTTTTACCAATGATCATTAAAATCTGCATGGAAGATAATCTGTTTTTCAGAGAATTTGTTACAAACCTTGTGTCTTGCAAGAACAGTGACCTAAACTGAGAAATGGTGCTTTAAACAGAAGCAAGAGACTCAGAAGGTATAACTAATACACATGCAGCTGCTGTCCTAGTTGTTATGACAGTCTTGAGCCTCTTCAAGAGATTACCAGTCTCTGGGAATTATTCTACAACATCAAATACATGCTTCAGCCACTTCTTAATTTTTAATTATGGAACTAGTTTAATGAGGAAATCATACCATGATAGTTTTCTCTTGTTATAAGAAGATTTTTATCAGTCTCTCTGGCTGTTGGTAATTAACCTGAAGAACGATTACCTGTTGAACACAGCTGATCTTATGAACACTGCAGTATACATCCCTATGCTATGGGGGTACAGTGGGCTATAGATGTCACACTTTTCAGGCTGAAAATGTGGACGTGCCTGTGTTCTCTCTCCTAGGGGAGTTTCATATGCCTAATGAATGTGTACACTTCCCTGACAGAGGCAGAAGCTCTCAGTTGCATCTTTTTCCAGACTCCCCTCATAGTAGTAGGGCTTTGACATGGTTGAATGATGTATGTAATAACATCATGAAATGTGTGTGACATTTGGTGTTTCAGAATACTCTTTCTTTGGATTACAAGATATCACTGATTGATATTGGGCTGGTGATAGAATACCTCCTTGGTGGAGCTTACCGGAGCAGCTACACAAGGAAGCATTTCCGAATTCTCTACAATGACCTCTGCAGAAAACACAAGGTAAATTCTGTGAAATGGCTACCAATGTTGACCAAGAAAAGTCAAAAGCTAGCTCAGGTTGTCATTATGGTTCATGTCTTCAGATGATGCTTCTCTGTCTCATAAATCTCTTTGCCAGCTGTGGAGAGGTTGCAAATAAAACAGGCAGTCACTCCCCAAGCTACTCCCTGTCCCCCAAGACCACTGGTGATTGTTAGATTAACTAGTAGGTCAGTAAATTTACCTTTGTGACTGGTAGCCAGGTTGTGTTCTTGGTCTGTCATCCATCAATAAATATCAGCAGGGCTGAACCAACCACCGTTTTCCCTTTTACAAAGCAGTTGCATGTTTCGGCCTTGCAGCTTGAATCATGTCACAAAAATAGTGAATTCAACAGGCATTGAGCTAGACTTAGAGCATGCCAGCATAGCATAGTGAAGAGCAACATGGAGAATCCTGACCCTACTTTTGAGCAAAGCTCTTACCTTTTAGAAGCAGCTCAGTGCTTGTGCTGCATCTTCCTGCCTGGGCCAGTGAGCTTTGTTTGCCTGGCAGAGATTTTTCTGTTATACACTGATCATCACAGGGGAAGCCTCATACTGGGTGTGCCAGGCTGCATCCATGATGCAATGGCTTTGTGCAGGCAGAGGGATTGTGCTTGGACATGTGTGCCATTCTGCACCTTCTAGATGCTTAAGTGTTTCACATTATGGCATAGCATTGTCCCATGCCTGCATATCAGCAGCATCACCTCTACAAACAAACAAACAAACTGCTTCAGAACAACAGTGTGCAAACATACTAGCACTTAACTTTCCCCCATCAACTTTCCAAAACCAGTAACTTGAAAACAGCTTAAATTTCTCTATAAATTAGCTGAGTAACATTGCCAACATCACAGAGGGAGCTGATTTACTGCATAAGAATTCTCTTCAGTTGCCAAAGCAGAGCTGAGCTTTGATTGAAGTACTTCCATATGTTGAAAAACAAACAACAAAACCCTCTTATCGCCATGTACTGCTTTCATGACTAATAGAAGAACTTCAGGGGGATCTGAGAAAATGAGAAGAAATAATGAAAACTGTTCCTTGAAGTGAATAGAAACAGAGACAGAGCTTTCTATGTGTCACTGGCTTAATGCAATGCTTAAAAAGAGATATTTGAGAAGTTACAAAGTTCTTCACTGTATCCTCATGAAGTAAGACCTTAACAGGTATGGGTTAAGGGTTAAGGTCATATGACATGATCATATAACTAGGAACCACAGGGAAGAGTATTAGTGATTTAGCTCTTAAAATCCTTCCCTCTGAATCAACACTGAACAAAATGCCCAGGGATGGTAGACATGCTGTTCTTCAGAGGAAATGGTCAGCAAAAAATTCAGAGAACTTCTGTCTTTAGAGGACTTATGGCACCTTTTATGGTACACGTTTGAAGACCTTCCAGGTTGGAGATTCCAATCTGGTGCAAGCCGTGTTGTTGTAATTGGTAGATGCTACTGGGGAAATCAGTATTTTGAATTCAAGAGATTCAGAAAAATATATATTTTTAAAATTAGATATGAAACAGGGTATTTTTTCCTCAGTGGTGTAATCTGCGGTGGTAGTTACAGCAATTGCTGACTCACTAGTCTTTGAATAACATCAGTTCCTACAGACACCATTGCAGTCAGAGGTAAGTACAGGCAAACTTAATCTCTAATTTGCATTTCTTTCCTTGTGTTTTATGGTATGCCTTCGGATCTAGAGAGTGCTTTCCAGCTTTTCCCAAAGCCTGTCTCATTCTCTTCATCAGAGTAATCAGTCGGCTAGCAGAATGGGATCTGCTGAAAGTACTTTGCATTCTCAGTTCTTCAGAACAGCACAGCCTTACAAATACAAGGTAATATAATTGCTTATTCTAGACTTTGCTTGTTATGTATTAGACTGCTAATAATTTTATTGAGAGATTTTAGACTTATGCTGGTCAGGCTGTTAGTTATCATAATTCTACTTAAATTCAAGCAGAAACAACTTTTTACTGTTCACTATTCATGAAGTACGTCCTGCAATTTTATTGCGGATATCAAGCTCAGGTGCCCCTTGTGATTCTGTTTAACTTCCATCCATTTGTTTCTAAGAGCTTTTGTTCACTGAAATATAGTATTACCTTATTTCTGAACATCAAGCATGTGTGAAAACTCTTCTTATTTGGAAGCAATGGTAGGAATTCTGTGACTTTCCTGATGTTTTCTCATGGTTGCTTATTAAAGTGTTACAGTAAGCTTGTTGCGCCAGGGAAGGTTTAGATTGGATATTGGGAAAAATTTCTTCACAGAAAGCATGATCAGGCTTCCCAGGGGAGTGGTGGAATCACTGTACCTGGAAGTGTTCAGAAACCATGTAGATGAGGCCCTCAGTGACATGGTTTAGTGGTGGTCTTGGCAGTGCTGGGGTAAGTGGCTGGACTTGATGATCTTAAAGGTCTCTTCCAACCTAGGTGATTCTGTATCTGGAAAATCATGACAGAATATTTTCTTTCAGAGAAATAATGATAAAAGAGCAAAGATGGCCACATAAAATATCTGACAGACAAAACAAAGTAGAATGAATTGAAATGGCTGCATTGGAATTAGTGTGAACCAAATGAACCCCTTATAGCACTGAGGTATCTCACTTGTATCAATAGGATTTATTTTTTGCCTTTAATGGAGAAATATCCAGACATGAATATATAGCAAGTCTACATTGCAAATACGGATACAGTAAAAATCGTCTCTAAGTATGACAAGTTATAGAATCATGGGATGGTTGGGGTTGGGAAGGACCTTAAGATCATCTAGTTCGACCCCCAATGCCATGGGCAGGGGTGCCTCACTCAAGACCATGTCGCCCAAGGCTCTGTCCAGCCTGACCTTAAACACCGCCAGGGATGGAGCATTCACAACTTCCCTGGGCAGCCCATTCCAGTGCCTCACCACCCTCACAGTAAGGAGCTTCCTTATACCTAACCTGAACTTCCCCTGTTTAAGTTTAAACCCATTACCCCTTGTCCTGTCACTGCAGTGCCTGGTGAAGGGTCCTTCTCCAGCATCCTTGTAGGCCTCATTCAGCTATGGCTGAAGGTCTGCTTCACAGAGGTCACTACACAGCCTTCATGGTCCATTGTGTATATTTCAACCTACCAAGTGAATCTTGGTATCATGGGGTTTGGAGACTCCCCAACACTGTGGAAGGTAAGGCTATATATGACAGGGGTACAGAGGAAGGAGTGTTTTCTCTCCGCTAATGTTACCAGCTTCTTAGCATTGGTAATCTGAATGTCATCACAGCTGTGGTTTGTAACTTAAACATATATAATGATCAAATGGTTTGCTCCTTGTAATTCAGACTTGCATGCGTTTTTATTTTCTTGAATCTGAAGTTCATCCATTCACTGAGATTCTCTTTTTTTGAAAAACAAATTTATAGGAAAGAACCACTGCTTTCCATAAGTGTAAGAAGAAATCAAAAGAGGGTATAAGCTTTGCAGAGAACTATGAGTCATCTGGCTTTATATACCCCTATAATGACCTCCTGGTTTGGGCAGTATTAATGAAAAGGCAGAAGATGGCAATGTTCTTCTGGCAGCATGGAGAGGAAGCCATGGTCAAAGCCGTTGTGGCTTGTAAACTCTACAGGGCAATGGCACATGAAGCTAAACAGAGCAACATGGTGGATGACACTTCAGAAGAACTGAAGAAGTATTCAAAGTATGACTTCTCCCTTTGCTTCAGTTAATTATCTGCAGTGCTTAGAATGGTTAGATATTTTTGTAATCCACTAAGAGTCTGTAGGGTTAGTGGTACCATGTACTATCGAGTGTGAAAGAAATACTTTCAGATGCATGCTAGTCATATTATATAATGTATCAGTCTGGTCAAGAGTTAAAGGAAAGCTATTAGCTTGTTACCTAGTTGTTTATCTGAAAGCTAAAATATGTGAGTAATGCATGCTTTACTGTCTGGTAAATTCTCAGGTCGAAGACTGAGATTTCCCTTATAGCTTCCCTTCCAGTTCAACTTGCTAAAAGGCCATATGGCACATATGCATTGGACTTTTCAAACCTGTACCATGTGGTAATAAACAAACTAAAATTAGTGCTTAAATCCTGCTCAGTGTAAGACCTAAAGAAAAACATAAGCTGAAATAACTGAGTGCATAAAACAAGTAGACCAAGAATTTTCTTCCAGTTTTTAGTTTCACTTTGTGTTTTCTGCTAGTTTTTCTTCTTAATGATGTACTTTTTTGCTGTGTAGCCATCCTGCCTCAGAGTACAATGAGATGTGCTGTCTTGCTTTGTATGTAGCTACAATGCTTAATTTGAAGGAAAGTGTATCTTCCTTGAGGAGTCTTCCCTACAAAGATGTTTAAAAAGTGTCAAAGAAGAGACTTTTGCAACTGCATGCAATGTTTGCCCACAGTGGTGATGAATCTGATGTTGAATGAAATACACAGAACTTTGTAGGGTCTGTTTTGATCACTGAATAGGATCATGAACAGAATAAATAAAACCCCATAAAACAGGATGACCCTAAATCTTGTGAATAGGGCTAAATATTTAGGTTTACTCCTGAAATTACTTTTCACTAGATATATTGATAAAATAATGGGAAAAATGGGAGAAAGCATACTTATTGAGGTTGTTAGCTGAATTTTAATTAATGGACTTCTCAAACCAGCCTCTTTGTGGCAATGATTCTGAGTTTCAATGGATCCTTGTTTTATGAACTGTTTTCTTCTGCCCCTTTCTTCTCTAGGGAATTTGGGCAACTTGCCTTAGATGTGCTGGAGAAAGCATTCAAACAAAATGAGCAGATGGCCATGAAGTTGCTGACCTATGAACTAAAAAACTGGAGCAACTCAACTTGCTTAAAACTAGCAGTGTCTGTGGGGCTGAGGCCTTTCGTGTCGCATACGTGCACACAGATGTTGCTGACTGATATGTGGATGGGACGCCTGAAGATGCGGAAGAACTCCTGGTTTAAGGTAGCGTCAATCTAGCTGTTCAGATGCTTCATACATGTCTTGTGGTTATGAACAGGTAATGCAGCATCAGAGAGATGTGGTTAAGCATGGTTTGGAATGTGCAGAGAAAAGAAAAAGAGAAAAGAGAAAAGAAAGGCAGGGAGGGAAAACAAAAATACTTCTGGTTTACTTCTTTGCAAAAGTAACTGCGGGATGACATTAGGAGAATGTATTTTGTGAGGGTATTTTTGCTGTTCCCATTCTCTCAGCACCCTTCAGTCACTTTCCACCTGCTCTCACTGCCCTGCTTTGCTGGTTCTCTGGCAAAGCTGCTGATGGGAGGAATGTTCTGTGGATATAGGGACCAGTATCTAAAGTATCCCCAGATACGATGGCACTATTCAAAGCCACAAAATAGTCAAGAGCAGCACATTAGTTTGAAAGCCGTAGGGGTGTGATACAGAGATTCCTTAGATCAGGGCTCCTTCCTAGGCTAGAATTTTACTAGGTTTGTGCTGACTGTGGTATCAGGTCTATAGTATCATGCTGAATTGTTTTCCTGAAACTCGTGTATTTCTTTTAGGTCATTATGAGTATTCTCCTGCCTCCCACCATCTTGATGCTGGAGTTTAAAAGCAAGGCAGAAATGTCTCATGTGCCTCAGTCTCAAGACTTCCATCAGTTCACATGGTATCATGGGGATCAGAGCCCAGTCAGCTCTAAAGATGCCTCATGTCTGGTTAGTCTGCATTTCTGTGTCAGGAGCTGTCTGTTTACCATCATATAATCTTGAGAGGTGACGACAGGGTGACCAGCTGGAAGTGTCAGGAACCAGCTCTCAGGAACTGTTTAATCCCTAGCTGGGGAGACTGAAGTGACCTTGGACAAGTTACTTATCTCCTGGGTGTCACTTCTGTACTGGTCATAATGCGAAAATCCTTCCCAGCCTTAAAGAAATATAATGAGATTATAATTATCTGTCATTTACGCAGGTATTTTAGAGCACAGTCTATTCAAGCTGCGGATAAATACCTATGTAATCTTGTATATCAAATAATCAAAGAATGGTTCTATATCATACAAAAAAAAATCACATCCATGAAATTCAATTCATATTGCTCAGTCAAGCTGTCCAAAGCAGGGAAACAGCAGAAGTGAGGCAGTTCAGGTCCTGACAGAAGTGAGGCAGTTCAGGTCCTGAACTCTCAATGCAGAATTTCCTGTCCTTTCTTTTTCTCATTCTCCACAAAACATTCCTTGAACATAAAATTTCCAAAAGTTTTCAGCCTGAGGTAGACAGCAGGCATGGAGAATTGACATCCAAAAGGATAAATTTTGGTGAGGTGCTAACCAGTGAAAGCAGGATTGTCAAGTGGTGAGAGGTGTCAGGCTCTTTGCTCTGCTGTGCTTACCTTACAGCAGATAAGCATGGGACCTTCTCAGTTAACTTTGAATTTGTGTAAAATTAAAAGCCGATTGTTGTTGGGGCTTTCAGAGCAGCATGGTAGGCCTGCCAATGCCATACTTGTGCTTTTTTTTCCCTGATGCAGAAAAATGCTGGAAGCCGTTATCTCCTCCTGTGCCTTTCTAAGATAGCTCAAAAATGCTATTTATGGGGTTAGGTAGAAGCTGTGATACAGAGGACAAGACAGTTGTAATTTGCAGCACCCCTGTGGTTTGATAGAAGGCAACACAGCAATGTGTGTAAGCATTTTTCTGTCCTGCCACAGGCAGGGCTGCTTCCTTCCTGGGCTAGCAATAAGCTTAATTTATGATTTTGTCTATTATAGATCATTGTTCAAGATGAAAGGCCAAGCTGTGGCTTTTTCTTAAATACTCTGATATGAAATGTAATAGAAAAATTAACAGACAATTTCAACAGTGTTCATGTGCCATATAGAGCATCATTCACATACAGTCATGAGTTCCAGTGACCTTCTGCAACTGGAAATTGCACTCTTTCATGGGACAATTCTCTCCTTCACTTTGAAGGATCTGATGTTAACAGATTAGGATGATTCTGTTTATCATATTCTCCAGTTTAGCACTTTTCTGAGTCTAGTGTGATGAAAAAAAAAACAGTTTTCCCCTGATAAACCAAGAAAATGTTATGTAGTATGGGTAACTATGTCACGTAAAAAATGAGGTACTACAGATGTCTAGTAGCAGTAAGTTTTAGCATTGATAATAGTCAAGGAATTTGGCCAGCATGAAAACAAAACTGAACAAGGCAGTTTGGTTCCCTCAGCCTTGCCCCGCTACTAGCTTTTTATAGCTTCCCCAGGCCTCTCTCCTTTGTCTCTGAAAACTCCTTTTAGCATCTTACAGTTTTATCAGTTGCCCACTTCTGTGTGTCTTTGCGGTTCTTAGGCTTCAGCAGCAATCAGATATTTGTACTTTCACAGTGGTACTCAGACAAGTGTCAAATTCTGAATACAGAATCAAGTGTATTTGCCTTTTTTTTTATATATATATTTTATTTTACTGAGGGTATTAAAGAAGTTAACTGTATTTTTGTAGGCAGATCTTTGTAAGAGAGTACTTATTTCATCCTCATCTTCTAATCAGGTATACACTGTGTCAAAAATAGCAATTAGATTCTGTATTTAGAATTTCACTATCTTGACATTTTCTGTGCAACTGTATACATGAGTGGAAACGTGGTGCTCATTCCCTTATTTTAAAATGTCTCACAGTTGTCAGTGGAGTTCTAGCTAATGCAGTTATGTCATATTGGGAGCTGTTATTTATCTGTATTTCACAGCTGGGGAAAGTGAGACATAGGGTGATTGACTTTGCTTAAAGACTGAAAGAAATGTGTGTCAGAAACTTGAGTTGATTCAGGTCTGCTGACACCCAGTCTGCTGCCTGTAGTCATAAAGCAAACTCTAAATGAGTATTTATAGTGGAAAAGTGTGCATGTTGATTATTGCAGATGAAATGGTTGTAACCAGACAAAATCAAGTTACAGTAATGGTTTGTATTTTCAGAACAAAGCTTAAGCATCTGTGCCTGTCTTCTCTTTAACATGACACAACCTTTGCAATCGTAGACCATGATTTCTTACTTTAAAAACATTGTTTCCTTTTAAAGAAGGATTATGATGTGGAGAAGGTTGCTCAGAAGTCTGATGAAAGCCAAGTAGATGGTGGACAAGGAAACCTGCCTGGGACCAGAAAATTCTATGAGTTCTACAATGCACCAATTGTCAAGTTCTGGTTTCACACGGTTGGTCATCATGCTGAAACTTGGAATGCCAAGACCCTCCTTTGATCTTTCAAACACCACTTAATGTGACTTTTACTTTGCCTAGCATGGATTTTCAGCCACTTAGTGGTGGGAGTGGATGGGAAGATACTTGAATATTTCTCTCACTATTGAGTGAAACGTTTTTCTGCCAAAATCATGCAGCTGCATTAAAAACACAACCAAAAATAGAAAAAAGAAAGAAAAGAAAAAAAGAAATAAATTTAAACAGAGCACAGCTTTTTACAGTGGTTAATTGCACATGCTAAGATAGATTTGAAGCTGTCCTTAAATACCTTAAGTATCTCACAGATACTCATTTCCCTTTCTTTAGGATCTGTTTCTGAAGAAGTGAATATTATTCTATAGGAGACCATTTGCTATAGCGAAACATGCATTTATTAAATCAAATTTAGTAATTAACCCTGTGTCAGTAGATTTTAGGATGTTTAAGATTAGGCTGCCTGTTGGGTCAGACCACTATGTCCATAAACTGTTACTCCTTTTACAGGGTGTGGCTAACTGCTTTATAACCTGTTAATCTGTTGTCTCAGATACATTTATAGCATGTTCTGGTACCTTTAAAATATGTGCTGATATTGTTCTTCCTCTGTTTTGGAAGGCACTGGTTAACCAGCAGTGAATCAAGTAGAATGATTACTTGCTCCTATAGAAGGTTAAGATAAAAGCATAACGCTGCCTTTACATTCAAGTGGTGTGTGCAGACAATAGAGTGTGTCTCATATATGCATTTGGAGCCTACGTGAACATATGCTGCAATAGTACAACTTTTGCTCCCATTTTTCAGCACTAAAGCACCAATTTCTAAGCGATGTTTAAAGATATTCCCATAAACATACTTTGGAGAACTGGAGGAAAGATTTTGACCTCAAAAATTTGACAATGACCCACTAGTTTGAATACATATGGTCAGGCTAATTACCTGTTAGTACATTTGTAGAAATTTGTTGGAGGTTTTTTGTGCATATGGTTTGTATATGGTGTGTTTTGCAGATGGCGTACATGGTTTTTCTCATGCTCTTCACTTACACTGTACTGGTGAAGATGGAACCAAGACCAAGTGTGCAAGAGTGGCTTGTTATCATTTATATTTTCAGCACTGCCATTGAAAAAGTCAGGGAGGTAAGCTTTTTCATTCACACTTCTCACCTATAGAGAATATATTGTAAACCAGAGAATAAAAATAAACTGAAGAATGCCAAATCCTCCATTCTTTTTGTAGAGAATTTAGCAGAGGAAAGAATTATACAGGACATTTATGTCTGAGAAGTCTTCTACTTGAAGACTTAGGTTTTGAAAATGAATCCTAAAATCTGTCCTTAAATCTCTTGTTCAGTGAAAAGCCAGTGGAAAGCTGCAGGTTACTTGAGAGTGATAATGGTGAACTGAGATTTGGAGCCCTTAGGCACTTGTTTCATTTATTTTTTGCAAGTGGACCATTAGACTTCTTATAACAAATGTGGAATTTGTCTGTAGATATTTGAGTGCTGACATTGTTGCCAATTAAGAGGTGTTATGTGTTGAATAATCTATGTCTCTCTATCAAGTCTAACTGACCCTCTTAAAATGAAACTGGAAAAAAACCCACTCACCATCAACTTTTAATGCTGGGCTCATTGAGCATGGAAAAATGACATTCCAAACAAAATTAACTGCAATTAATTTCAGTTGATTAAGTCTTAGCTTCTGAACACAATTTGCTCTCAAAACCTGAGGATGGAGGCGAATGCAGCTGTGTATTTCCCAAATTATTGTATGTTATTGAACATATCTTCATTGAATCAGCACCTAGTAAACCACAGTAGTATGAATCATCTTCTTTATGACATTTGAAATGCTATACTTTTAGAAGAATAAAATGTAAAAAAGCAGTCAGTTCTGAATGAAGGATGCTGTTATACCAGATCATTCAGAAGACTGTGACATCAGTATGAGAGAGGTGAAGAATTTCAAGGGACAGCAGAAATGCTGGGAATATAGTGAAGTTTGGATAAACATTCAAACTCTGTGTCTGCAAGGCATAAAATTTAAAAAACCAACATGAGAATTGTCTAATTGAGTTAAAAATTAAATGTGAAGTAGCAAGCACTTTAGAAATCACTGTTGTGCTGTTGCATCATGTTGATGGTGGGGCAGTGGAAACATCAGCTGTTCTATACATTGAAATTTGTTGGAGACTTTGAAATTAATGTCTTTTACTTGATTTTCTTTGTACATGTACTAGTTCTGGTCTGCTGGCAAAGACTTTATAGGACACTGTGCCTTACACATGCAGCTAAGTAACTGCTGAGGGCCTTGTTATATGTAACTGCAAGCCTCTATTTCTCTAGATTGTATCAACTAATTGTTAAAGCCTTAGGCCCTGATCCTGCAACTAGTTCCTCATGTGAGTTAGTCCAGCTGAACTGAGTAGGTTCCCTTATTTATGTTAATGTCTTCATATGCGTAAATTCTTTCAGGAGCAGGGCGTAACATTTCAAAATCTCACCGCTTGGAACTTATCAGTATGATCTTACATAGCACTGTGTAATTGGCTTCTCTTGTGTAATGTGCAGAGGTTTTATTTATGGTCTCTCAAAGATTCCACTTCACACATTTGTGCAGTGAAGCTTAAAATCCCTTTGGGGCACCTCACAGTTCAAGAGGTGAACATTTCATTCTTTACCTTGCTACTTGCCAGCACTCCTTTTTTTAGCATGTCCTTGGTGGAATACAAGGATCTTTCTTTATATTTTCAGTCTGAAATAAAAGCATTAGTTATTTTTCCGTCAGCAAGGTTAGGCTGGTACTTTCCATGACTTAGAGGCTTACAAAAGGGCTACTGCAGGTCATGACCATCCCTCTAGAAAATGCTCGTTAAATTTATAATAGTACATATGCATAACAAGTCTATACTGCCTGCTTTTTTCTGCTGAGGAGCACGCTCTTTACTGAATAGGTTCAGGCTCAGAATTGTTCCTTAGGTGTGGCATACTTGAGCAATTAAAAACTTCAGTTGTCAGTGAATGGCAATATGCAGTACACAGGACTGTGAAAATTTAAGAAAAAAGGAAAAAAATTGCACATTCTCAAATATCATAAAACTGTTTAGACAAAAAAAAGGTGTCTGTGATTTTAATGGAGTTTTGTTTTGTTCCTCCCTTCTTCCTCATTCTACTCAGGTATTTATCTCGGAACCTGGAAAATTCCTCCAAAAAGTGAAGGTGTGGATTTATGAATACTGGAATTTTACTGATTCTATAGCTATCATCCTATTTATGATTGGTTTTGGCTTGCGCTGGTCCAAACCCCCTGTTCAAACTGCAGGGAGGCTACTTTACTGCTTGGATATAATATTTTGGTATGCTCGGCTCCTTGATCTTTTTGCTGTGAATCAGCATGCTGGCCTATACCTGACAATGATTGGGAAAATGGTAAGTATCATGCCTTGGAGAAATAGTTCTGTAGTTAAGGCATCTATACAGTAATGTGTAAAGGTCAGAAGCGACAGAAAAGAATGGTGGTCAAAGGAGAGGTCACCTAATTCATAGTGAACGTATTACCTGAAAATACCATGTCTTTTTCTATTTGTAAGTTGACCATAATTAGATTTCAGTTCTCTCTAATTTTTTCATTATTTGAATTTATTCACAAAAGCCATTTTTGCTTCGATCCTAAGAGAATGTTTGCATTGGAGTTGAGTTTCTGATCCAGCTTGATAATAGGAGAAAGAAAAATCACTGTCTCTTGCAGACAGGCTCACTACTGTAGATAATTCCCCTAGCTCCTGGAAACTGTCTCATTAGTATTTTGCATTTTGATTCAAATAATTATATCCCATTTTAGCTGGCAAAATTTCTCTGAGATCAAAGTTAATCTTTTCTTCTCTTTTGGTATAAGAACTACTGCTGAACTGCAGCCTAGTCTTGAGGGATATCTGCAGATTCCCTCAGTAACTTCCCTCAGTTATTGGGAACTATGTTGTTAATACTTTTATATTCTGTCTTGCGTAGTAATTCCAATGCAGTGTTAGAAGGCAAAATAATTTTCACTGCTATTTCTTGCTCTTAGTTTGGAGGAAATTCCACTGAGGAAAAAGCACCATCATAAGGTCTTTATATTTTTCAAATCTTGCTTAAGATCTTAAGAGGTACTTGAGAGGCAAGCAGAAATTTTACCCTTCTTGGTCCAGGGTGACTCTAGCCTCTACAAAACACGTGGATAATCCAGGTCATAGAAATGTTATTTTTACTTCCTTTAGCGCACTAAGATTATTAGCCCTGTTTCTCTGTTGTGGTTTGGAAAAGCAGTGATTGATACTCATCCTTAAAATGTATTTCCTTTACATATAATCAGCACAGCTAATTCTTTCATGCACACATATCTTCCAGACAGCAAACATGTTCTATATTGTAGTCATGATGGCCATAGTCCTGTTGAGTTTTGGAGTGTCACGAAAGGCAATCCTTTCACCAGAAGAACCTCCTTCTTGGACTCTGGCACGAGACATTGTGTTTCAGCCTTACTGGATGATGTTTGGTGAGGTCTATGCTGGAGAAATAGATGGTAGGTAGTTTTCATAGTACAGCTCAACACCTTAAATTTAATATATGCAGAAACATATCTGCTTTGGGTTACTAGAGTTTAGACTACATACGGAGTTTATTCTTTCTCAGACAATTTTGATTCCAGTATATATATGTCCTTAGTGAGTAATACTGCATGAATAAAGGTAAGAATATTACTTTCTTTGTTAAAAAATAAAGATTAAGCTTTAAAACCTTCAACATTAGCTTGTCAAATTAAGTATATTGCAAAGCTCAGAGCAAAGCACATAGGAACTAATACTAAGCTAGTTCGTGGTCAGGGGATCTTGGCAGTGAAATGGATTTCTAATTAGGCAAATCCAAAGCTGCTGATCTCTTGGAGGAAGGACTACAAAGTTTCCTTAAAGGAAGAAAACATAAAATGATAACCACAAAAAGGAAAAATAAAGAAAAAAATATTTTTCATCGGTGTAAGAGTTATCTGGCATCATTAAAAAAAACCAGATAAACCAGTTGAACACAATGATTATGGTTTTGACCTTGTCTCAGTACCAGAGAAGAATCAGGCACTCCAGGAACTATTTCAGCATTACAGATGGAAGGCACTCTCATGCTGCTAAGTGATGGGTACAAGTAAAACTGTCCCTAAAATAGAAAAGTGGGTATGCAAGTAGATATATATATTTAGCACACATAGTTCAGCATAGACCTAATTCATTAACATAATTTTAGGTATTACATCTATTACTATTTCTGAAACAGTCACATGATGGCTATGTATTTTGGTTATATGTCATAATTCTTTTAATGAAAGCACACTATTAAGTTTCACAATTTAATCCATTTAATCACTTATTAATGCTAAACATTTGAAACTTCCCAAATAAAGCTATAATTTTTCTAGTGACTCTTTATGCTGTGGAATATGTCATCAATTTAGGGCTGCTGCCTTATAAATGCGTTTTAAAATTTCATCAAAGATCTAAAATTTAATTAAAAATCATAAAGAGTGAAAAGTATTTTGACAATTTAAAAACATTAAGAAGGATCCCTTAATTTCTATGATTTGTTGCTTCATCTTATGAATATTAGTAGCCATATATGCTTTTGCACATGAGTACCTGTGATCTTACTGAAATTCTGAAGGAATAACACTCCAATACTGATAAAGTATCCTTTGCACTGTGTCCTTTCCACAGTGGAGTCAGTGAAATCTTTGCCACTTGCTTTAAGGATCAAAGATTTGGATTTCAGTTCACTTGAATATGTGCCATCTCCCAGATACGTTTCAGCTGCATAATTTTCCCGTTAACAGAAAGTCAGGGTGACTGGCATAAGAACTTGTATCCATGAAATGGCGTCTATAGCTTCTGAACTGCAATGGAAACTACGGAGCAGCAGTATCACAAAGAAGTCTTAGATCTCCTTTAAGTGGAGTAGACTTTTTAGTTGGGAATTTAATAATGTATCTCTGTGAAAGTAATAAGGACCATTCTGTTTCTTGTGGCAAAAGAGGAGCACATGCCATTGCTGTGCTTTGCTCTGATTTCCATTCTAATCATGCTCTGTATACTCTTCACTTTCAGTCTGTGAAACCAATGAAGACTGTCCTCCCGGTTCCTTCCTCACGCCGTTCCTCCAGGCTGTCTACCTCTTTGTGCAGTATATCATCATGGTCAACTTGCTGATTGCTTTCTTTAAGTAGGTGCCGTGGTAAATTGATGCCAAAGCAAAAGCAACTAAGAGATGTTCTGTCAACACTTCCACAAAAACTTTTCGCCAAAAGTACCCCAGCAGGGGGCATATTGGTGGTGGTTCTTACCCATCTTCCATGGGGGTAAGCTGAATAAAAAAAGCACAGTGGAAGCAAGAGGGTGGGAGGAAGGAGACAGTAAGCAGACACCTAAACTGTTTTGCCATTTAAACAAAATCTAATTCTCTGAAAGTGGACAACAAGCTGGCAAGCAAACAGGTTTATTTGTCCTTTGTTCCTAAAAGTTGTATTTGCTGTGCTGAGAGCATCTTGGGCTGCCCATTTCATCATAGTGTAGCCTAAGACTTAAATTGGCAGGCAGATGGAGAAGGTATTCAAAGGAAGAGAATAATGACTTTGTAGAAGCATGCTCTTCCCTTAGGAAATAATTTGAAAAGTCATGTTGTTTGGTGCAAGTTGGTGTGTTCTAGACTGAAACCTAAATGTAGTGGTTTTATGTCTTTTTAAATATCTGCTATCAGAGTAGGAGAGGTCTTTATAGTAATTTTATAGTAATTTGTATTACACTATAGTCAGTGTCTTCATAGTAATTCAAATCTTTCAAGTTTTAACACGAAAATCCTTGTAGTGGATCAATTTATTTAAAATTCTAGTAAAGAGTGGTCTAACCCAAGCAGTTAATTATTTTTTCCTGGAGTCCTATTTCTGGTGAAGAAAACTGTTGGAAGTCAGCTGTAGGTTAAAAAAAAAGAAAAATCAAATGGAGAAATGTAGTGATTAATATTCAAGAAAAGTGAATGACCAAAACTCATTCTATTCCCACTTCCAATTAGAAATCCCTTTCCTGAAATTGTGGTAAGGCGTAATTTTTTATTTTTTTTCTTAATATGCAGCTGTGAAATTATAATTTGACTTATTTCTAGATTTAAACCTTCAGCAATGATGATATTAAATCTTCTGCTTAGTGATTTGATTGTTCCAGAAGTGGGACCAAAAATGGGTATGAGCAATACATTTAATTATGCTCCCAGAAGCAAAGCTCATGTTTTTGTGATTATATATTAGGTGTGTAGCATAACGGTGCAACTGAAGTCCCCTCCAGTGCAACTGGAAGAATCCAACACTCCTGTGCTTGGGTTTATGATAGTAGATACGGAAAGTTATTCAGTGCAACAACAGGCATGTTTAATAATATCATGGCTCCAAAGAGTACCCTGTAGAAGAATTGTTTGTGAAGCTGCCTGTTGGAGCAAATATTTTGTTTAGGGGATTGCACAGAACTGTTTTATTAATACTCTTCCCTTAGCTTGACTTCTACCTTTAATCTAGTCCAAAGAGGCAGACAATGTTGAATTCTCAGTTAAGCTATGTATTAATGTTTAAATAATCTGGCTGAGATTTCAAAGCCACTTCAGGGATATTTTTTGCCCAGTTCCCATTAATGTGAATGGGAATTGGATCTCCAAATCCTTTAGGCAGCTTTGAAGATCTCATTCTCAGTACAGTAGCTGCAGGCACATGCTACTGCTATGTTAAATGAAAGTTGCTAAGCTGATTTACCTCACTGGAGGGATGGGACTTTTCTTCAGTGTCATATTAGATCTGTAGACAAGTCTCTTGTGCTGTCTTGGGAGTATTCCTCACAGGAGTGTTTTACACTCCTTCCCTCTCTGTCTTCTCAGCAATGTTTATTTTGATTTGAAATCCATATCAAACAAGCTCTGGAAGTACAACAGGTACCGCTACATTATGACTTACCATGAGAAGCCATGGCTGCCTCCACCATTCATCCTTCTGAGCCACATTGGACTTCTGATAAACTGCATTTTCCACCATCAACCTCCAGATGAGCTGGATCAAGAGGAAGGCGATGTTGGACTAAGTAAGCAGAGCTAAGCTGGGGACCAAACAAAATAGCTAATGAGAAATGTTTTGCCAGCCTCCCATCACTTTGTAGCTTGGTTTGTCAAAGAAAAAAAAAAAGAGAGTAGAGTAGCTCTCTGGGTAGGAGGCTGTTTTTATTAGCAAAACTGAATTTAACCTGCCTGCCTAAGAACTCTTGTAAGAAAAAAATTGACTAGGGGAATGCTTTTCTTTGTATTTGGCTTTTGCTGCACTGCATATTGTGCTTCAGTCAAGACACATCACAACTCTGAGCTGAAATAAAGTGGCAGTAACTTCTTCTGTAGGATGAATAGCCTTATTTTGAAAGAAAGTAAACAATACTGCAGGTATATATTCTGTGCATTTGTCCTGAAAAGACCAAAAATTCCTTTTTAATTCCCAAGAGAAAGTAGCCACAGAGCCCAAAGACAAAGGAGAGCCAGTGATGGCAGATGCAGAAAGAGGACAGGGACCTCTGACTTCCTCACTGCTTCCATCCCTTTCTGCAGTGGCTCATCACTGCACCTGAAGCACACCTCCTTCACTTTTCCCAACTGGACTTCTCCATCCCAGGGTCCTTCATAATGCCCTTTAAGGTGATGCCAGTTTCTTGTCCAACTGTTGCCAGCTAGGAGCAGCCCTAGCTATTTTAGTATAGATCAAGCACAAATCCAGGTGGAGTGAAGACTGTATTGAGAGCAGTCCTGAGGCGAACTTGGGGGTGTTGACTGATGGGAAGCTCAGCATGAGCCAGCAGTGTGCACTTGCAGCCCAGAAAGCCAGCTGTGTGCTGGGCTGCATCAAAAGGATTGTGGCCAGGAGGTTGAGGGAGGTGATTCCCCCCTCTACTCTGCTCTCATGAGACCCCACCTGCAGTACAGCATTCAGCTTTGGGGCCCCTAGCACAGGAGGGACATGGGCCTGCACGGGCAAGTGCAGAACAGGGCTATGAAGATGGTCAGAGGGCTACAGCAACTCTCCTGTGAAGACAGGCTGAGAGAGTTGGGTGCTTCGGGGAGACCTCAGAGCAGCTTCCAGTACCTAAAAGGGGCCTAGAAGAAATATAAGAGGGACTTTTTACAAGGGCATGTAGTGACAGGGCAACATGTAATAGCTTTAAACAGAGGGTAGATTTAGACAAGATATTGGGAGTAAATTCTTCACTATGAGGTGGTGAGACACTGGAACAGGTTTCCCAGAGAAGCTGTGGATACTCCATCCCTGAAGTGTTCAAGGCCAGGTTGGATGGTCCTTTGAGCAACCTGGTATAGTTCAAGGTGTCCATGCCCATGGCAGGGGGTTTGGAACTGGATGATCTTTAAGGTCCCTTCAAACCCAAATTATACTGTGATTCTATGATTCTGTTGCAGGGAGGGGACAGCAAGATTTTGGGATAGGAATGAATACTCAGTCATGGAGCTTGATGGTTGGTGTGGTGAGGCAGGAGAATGGGGAGGAGAAGCGGCTGGTGGCTGTAACCTTATCCAAAAAAACACTGGAAAAGGCTGGCCCATAGCATTATATAGCTTCATCCTTCCTGCTGCAGTGTACATCATTGATGTCTAAGAACAGGTGAGCATACCCTGCTGGGTTATGCTTCACTCTGCTGACCATGAATCCCTGAAGATATCCGGCACGCTCACAGGTGGTTACGGATTTTGAAAAATGGGCTTAACTAATCAATGCTGAACTACTTTACTGCTGCTCTTAGGCTCTGCTCCTCCATCATGACTGGATACATCAGACTGCCTTTGAAGTTATAACTGCTTATTTTATATGCATGCATAGTGTAAGTCACTGACATAGCATAGAGGGTATCTTTCTTCTATGGTACAGTAGGCACAAGAAAAACTGAAACACTGCTTTGCACATATAAAAGTCCTTCTAGCAGAGAGAGACATTTTTCCTGTTCAGGTACCTTTTCTAAATACCTTTTCTATATGCCTATTATTACCTCGTACATTTCTTCTACTTAAATTGTGATGTGATTATAATTAACTGGGTTTAGTAGTGGGTATCCAGTGCCACCCTGTGGAAAATCAATGAAAATACAGAGATACAGAGAGTAAAATCTTGGAGGCAAGAATACAGATGGATTAGGGGGGAAAAGAGTCTAGAAGGTGATCAAGTCTTATTTGGAGTTAGAGGGGTACCCCAGAACACTGCAGTGGGCTTCCCTCCTGAGCTGTGTTTTGCAGGCTGGTACTATATAGTTGTGATAAACTGGCATGTTGCTTGGCACTGATACACCTCTGGCAAGTACAGTGAGGACTCTGGCATGTAAAAAAGGAAAGAAAAAAGAAACTTGGAAGATACAGATTTCAGATCAGAGAAGCAGCTTGCCACTGCATGCATTTCTACGTACTGACTTATAATCAATCTGTTCTCTCAGAAGTCTTGGTGTGCTAGAAGAATAGCATCATGAGCAGCCCAAGCTGTGGAGTTTGAAACTTTTGAATGAGTTCTTCTTTCGTCACCCAGTAATCTTGCTTAATGTTTTATACATATGAACATGGGAAGATATTAGGTGAAAAAAAAGCTCTGTAGCTTTGAGTACCTGAAAGGACTAATTGTTATAGGTGACTAGATCTAAATGAATGCCTGAACCAAATTACAGTGAAACCTTTGTAAGTTACATCTGACTCATTCTTCTCAAGGGAGGGGGAGGAAAGCAGGTCCAACAGTTTTCTATTTTTATCATGGGTGCTTATAAACAGTTACATTTATCGGCATGCTTCATATGGGCTCCTATTGCTTTTGTTCAGAGCTGTACCTGAGTGATGAGGAGTTAAAGAAGCTCCATGACTTTGAGGAACAGTGTGTGGAAAAATATTTTCATGAGAAGAATGAAAGCCTGAGTTCCAGTGACAGTGAAAGGATTCGTCTGACAACAGAAAGGTGTGTTTTGCTGCAAATTTGTGCTCTTTATATACATTTGTCATATAAAAAAACTTTGATAAGCTAATGCTTTTGGAGCAGGTATGGCCACTGTGAACAGGAGGATCAATAGCATGCATAGGCCTTGCTAATTTGATGGAAATGTAATGTATCTGTTTGAATGGCATGACTGCTGGGATGCCTTGCTGACAGAATTGCAGCCCAGCTGTGTACAGTGCACAGGTGGTTAAATGGTACAGTACAGTGTTGGTCAGTTTCACTTTTGCAGAGTAGGTGGCACCACAAAATCCAGAGTATGATATACAGTACATATTATTATTTAAAGGCTTAGCAGTGTAAGAACACTTCAGGAGTATTGCTTGTGATTAAGTATAAGTGCTATTTACAGAAATAACCATATAGCCATTGTAGCATTAACTGCAGTATAGTCTTTGCAGAATATCAATACCCAACTGTCAAAGGGGTTTCAAAAGTCTCAGTATTGACTTAATTTAGCTTTCTATTGAAATCGGTGGCAGACCCGCCATTATATTTAATGTGATGAGTTAAAGAAAGTGAGTGCTATAAGAAGTCTTAAAGAATGCCAGTACTGATCTCATCAATAAATTTGTTTTGCCTAAAGAAAGATAGCTTCTTAATCTTTGCATATTCATAATCTTATTTTCTGCATACTAAAATAAAACATGCAAGCAAAATGAATGTTCCCTGCAAAAGCAATGAAATAAGTAGCTTTGTTCATACATTGAATAGATTAGAGCAAAAAGATTTCATTTAGTGGATAAATATAGACCTGGAGAGGATTTTTTCCTTAGTGCAAAAGTTAAACACACTTCACAGCATTGCATAACATTAATACAAGAAATAAATTTAGATGAATAAAATATTTTGGAATACTGGTCTTTGATTTTATTCAGCTACTGGTTAAATACTATGTCTTTTAGTTACTCGGTGAGAAAGGAAATGAACAACTTTTGCATATTGCCTGCAGGTAGTTTATCATTGTCTTAGTGTTAAAGGGACCAGAGAGTGTATCTTCAGAAAGCTTGAAGGTATTTATTTGATTAAAATGATGTAATTCCAGGCACTGGGGATTTGAAGACCAGAAAAAAACGGTTTGCTTTTTGGGCTTTTGAATTTTACCTGAAGGTGACTGATGAAGAGACTGTTCCCAGAGTTCAGACAGGTTCTTGGGAAGACCCTTTTCCCACCAGTCTTCAGTATTTGAGAAATGTAAAAATATCTGAAGGTTTGTGTGAGCCATGTTCTTAGGCTTACACAAGAAATGTAGAAATACGACATGACTGAGTGACAAGAAGCATACTTTACAGAAGTGACAGCAGGAAGCAGCCTTGGAGGTTCATTATGATGCATTACAGCTGTAAATGCAATAGTCGGTGCAGCATTTCCTAAGCTGTGTTTTGCTGTCCATGTTTAGTAGTTCTATGGAAATGAATGGACATTAATAGGAAAATAGCAGTTTTTTGGAACAGATACTCCTTGAGGAAAAAGCTTGTTTCCTTAAAAGTCACTGTCTGTTTGCCGAGTAATTTGATTGACGTTTTGTAAGTTTGGATTTCTTTCTTCAAATATAGGTATTCATGTGAATGGAAGTCACCATTAAAAAAAAAAAAAAAAAAAAAAGGCTCTTTGAAATGTGAACTGACTTTTTAAAATGTATTAATGGCTTCCTTCATCATCTGGCAAACAGAAGTGAAAATCTATGTTTTGGTATTTTCATGATATTTTCTTTTTCTATTTAGAGTGGAGGAGATGTTTCTGCAGCTTAAAGAAGTGCATGAGAAAGTATTTTGTATCAAGGAGTCTTTACTTTCCCTGGACAGCCAGCTAGGACATTTACAAGACCTGTCTGCCTTGACAGTGGACATCCTGAAAGTGCTTTCAGCTGTAGACACCTTGCAGGTGGAAGAAGCCTTACTGGCTGACACAAAGCTTCAAAGCTGTAGGAAGCTGCCCCATAGCTGGAGCAATGCGCTCTATTCCAAGACCTTGAGCAGCCTGGAGTGTTTGTATGACAAGAAATACCACTACTACAGCATGCCATCCTCCCTTTTACGGAGCTTGGTAAGGAGTCAGTGGCCATCAGAGTGCAAAGACCATGTATTTAGGATGGAGAGTAACAAGGTAGAAGACAGCTCTCAAAAGATAGAGATAGAAAGTGACACACTCACTTCAGGAGTATCTTCTGAGACTAAATCAACCCCTAGATATGGACAATTTTTGCTGGTGCCCCCTGACCATCAGGGAGGGTCTTTCTCTGAGGATGTCACCTTAAATTTGTCTTTCTTGAGCACTCCTGACAAGTACAAGGACCATGCATTCAGAGGTGAACTGAGTAGCATTGTTGTGCAGCAGAATTTGCAGAGTGTCAGCCTCGTTGGAAAAAAGCCAGAAGATTATGAATGGAACCAGAGAGACTTTGTTATTCATTTGCTGTCAGAAAAGACTAATGCCATAGAGGCTGATCATTCTCTTGGTCTTCACCCATCACTGGATATCGAAAAGAATGCAGCACCCTTCTGTGATGACAGGTTAAAAACTAAAGGTGGTTATGTGAACTGGGGATTTTCTGAAGGTGATGAAAAAGGGGTTTTTAGCTCAGAAACAAAGAAGAAGGCCCTGTGCATACATTCTACCTATAACAGTGACTGCAGTTGCACTGATAGTCCTCCCGGGCATGTCCAGATAAGAGAATCAAAGCCCTTCTGCAACTCAGAGAGGTCACATCGCAGCAGCTTCATCTCTCACAACAAGCTGAAACGCAGCACCTCCTTCTGGATCAGCCCACTCTGGAGGGACTGGAGTTTCTGCAGGAGCAACAGCTTACAGTCCACTAAGAAAGTGAAAAGAGGGAAATCCTGCAAGGCCGTTGGTGGTAATTATAAAACGCTACAGCTATAGAGTGTCTTTTACTGGAGACCCCAAGACATGATAAAAATGTTTCCATTACATCTAGGTATTAGTTGCAGTTGAGGGTAGTAGCAGAGTCTGGATTTTCTTTGTGCTGGGTCTGACTGCTGTGGGGAATTGCTGAGTGTGCCTGCTATCCAAGCAGCACCATGCTTATTCTCCCCATGGATCCCTGTGGCTGTGGCTACACAGCCAGTGTGAAAGAGGTACTGTGCTTGCTCTGAGAGAGTCTCCTGCCCTGGGGGTTCAATGCATGAATTGCAGGAACTAAAATTAGTTACACAATCCCTAAGAGGTATATTAGCAGATCATAAGTCAGATGTGTGCATGGAGAATGAAGCAGTATACATTTTTATAGCCAGTTTAAAACCATCCCTGTCAACCACCAAGTTTGCTTACCAACAGCTAAAATATAGCAGAATCCAGTTCTAAGTATGAATAGTATGAGATGATGGATAACATTTGTTGTTTTATATCTTGTGATGGTGCATATCTTTGCACTGAAATGCATGACTATTAGCTTTGGGTGTTGCAAGTCTTTCTCAGCTTGCTTTGAAGAAGTGCCAACTGTCAGTCTTATCAGATCTTCTCTTAGTAAATAAAAGCATGGTAGCATAATGGTGTTTTCTGACTTTCCCACAGAGTCTTTACAATCCAGTGAGCTACACCACAGTGAGGCAACAAAAGCACAACAACAAAACAGAGACAGAAAGTCTGGGAGAGAAAAGAAGAATCAAGAAACTCTTCAGGTGCCGGTATGCGCAGATGCAGGAGAATCACATACCCAATAGCTCTCTTTTTCATTCACTAAGATTAGTTTACTTGAAATGTATACATTTAAAATGCTGCACACAAACTGGGGCATCTTTTTGTCAGGCTTTGGTTTAATTTCCTGTTTGTTTGAATGTGTAGGATTTCGTTTTGGAATGTGTTGAAGTCTGTGGACTTTGTTAGATAGTATACCAGAGGTGTTACTGATTTTACATGGAAAGGAGTCAGTCCCTGCACTTTAGCTGGCAAGAGGACTTGGGAAGGCTTCGTATGCTCTAGGATAGACTAAAATAGTGGTTAGAGATATCCATGTGGTGTGCAACAATAAACAAGCAAGCCAGGCCTTGTAATGTTGTCTGCTGCCTACAAGAGTCCCACAGTCTTTTCTCTGAATCCATCAAACATTTAGCACATTGCAGACAGCATATTGATTATGTCATACCTATGGGGCAACTTTTATAACTGTATATGTCTGCATATACATATAAATCTATTTATAAAGTTATAAAGGGATTCCTAAAATGTTTGTCAGCTGGAAAGATTTATCTCCGTTTAATAAGATAGAAGCTGAAGACTGATATATTTACATAAGATGCTGAGGTCAACAACAACAGATCTTAGACTTGAACATTGAGACCTAGTTAATACCTCTGAAGGTATTCAGGGAGACTTCAGACTTTGTTTTCAAAAGCTAAAGTGCTACATCATTCATCAGTAGTGTTTGCTTGACAAAAGCAATTTGTCTTCTGCAACTTGTAACAACAAAAATAGGAAAATTTTTTTCTCAGCTGGGAGTGATTTCAGACATTGGCATTTCAGTGGTGCTCTGAAAGGCCATGTCATAAGCTGTCAGAGGAACTGTAGAGGTGCTAGTCATCCTGTAAATCAAGTGTCACCTTGTTTGTGTCTTGCCAGGTGATTAGAGTGGATGGTTGTCCCCAGAACACCCAAGTGAGCTCAGAGCCTGCAGAGATCAATGTCTGGGATGAGCAAGAGAAGCACAGCAAGAACTGGCTCACCGTGTCTAATTTCAGTCAGCTAAGTATGTGATATTTTGGAGATGATGAAATCCAGAACAGCTTTTAAAAAGCAACAATAAATAAAAATCCACAAATTCAAAGTCTCATCCACTACTTCCACCTCATGGTATATTTTTTACAGAATTAGGCTTAGGTTGCAGGCACATGTGACTTGGTTATTTACTGCATCATTGCAGAGGCAAAAGGGACGTAGATTGGATGGAAGGTCAGTTAAATCTTTCTGGGAGTGCTGCCTGTCTGGTATGGAAGATACTAGAGTACTATCCTCAGGAATAAGTGGGAAGCAAAGAGGATGGTATCCTTGCCTCCTCTCCTGAAGTGTCTTATGCCTTCTAAAGTGGCATCCTTCCTAATTGAAAAAGATAAACTCTTGGAAGTTTCACTCATTTTTGATGAATTTACACTCACAGGCAGTGCTGCAATACTGTATCTGCTGGCAGACCCTCTGCATGCATTATTCATTACTCACTGCTCTGAAACACATCCTCCAAAGTGAAGAAATGAATTCTGTAGTATCTCTGTTGTAATGAAAAGGGAATGGCATTCTTACTCTTCTTTTAGTAATTCTTCAGCTCTTTCAGTCTCAGAAATCCTTTCCATAGTTCATATTATCTTTCAGCTTTGCTGTTACATGGCTTACTGGTTGTATCCTGCGAGCTGCTGGGAGAAGCACCAGGGAATGCTGTGACTCAGCACAACATGGTCTGAGAAGGACTGCACTCCTCTGAAATCTGCTGTCAAAATGGAAACAGTCCGTTTTAACACTATGCAATTCTGTTGTTGCTTTTATAGCCCATACACATTTCCTGGAGGAATATTGTATATAGGTGTTTATTTTATAATACTACATAGATGTTTAGTTTGTAGCAGTAAAGATGTTCATTTGCACTCTGGAAATAGCTGACACCTACTTTTTTGGGTAGGTTTGGAACGTCTCAGTTGTGTGCACCAGAAAATGAAAAATCAAGACATTGTTAGGCATACCATACCATTCTGTGATTACCTGAGGCATTCTCAAGAGGTAAGACCCAGGATTGCACATCCTAGTCCATAGTTTCAGCTGGGATGAGGTCTGAGTAGCTCTGTTGAGTCCCTGGACTTCCACTGTAGGTTGTTTGTCATGAAATACCTCTATAGAGATGGGAAACTCTGTTGTCTGCAAGCACAGTGCATATGTGCAAGTAAATGAGTAATTTAATGGCTGTTAACACTCTATTAAGATTATTTAAATGGGATATTAAATTATTAAATCACAGATTTGATTTATGAGTCTGAAGAAGTGGGTCAGAAATGACACAAGGGTTGATGTTTCATTAAGTAATGAGCAAGAACACAGGTTGGGTTTGAACCAGTGGGTAGAAATGATGAGCAAAGTGAAGTAAATTTTGGAAAGTTAGCTACATAGCTCTTAATCTGTCCCATAGAGATGTTATTTCTTGCAAAGTGGGAGTTAAATATTGATAATTGCAAAATTTAGATTTCTTAACCACTGTCTTAAAACCAACATATCTTATAATTTATCAGAATTAATTTGCAGCTCCATAATGCAAAGGCTCTTTGCCTATGTAAATCAACATGGGCTCATTGACTTTGCTGGAGCTAGACCAGTTTATATTTCCTGAAGACTGGGGGTAGGAATCAGGATTATAGAAATTTCTGTTTTAAAATGGTGTAGCTAATGGAAGAAAATGTATCTTTCACCAGAAGTATGAAAGAAAATTAGCAAAGAATAAATTCAGAGAAGTAACTGTGAAATAATCCTTTCCTCTTTGCAACAGCACCCTTCCTTCCCTTTTTTTACTTATAGCACTCTTGGTTATTAAATGGCGATCTTTGTAAGTCTGGCTTATTTTTCATTGTAAATTCTATGAATTGCCTTTTTTCTTTTCTAGGGAATAAAAATAAGTTAGATTGTTTCAGATCTGCTGTTCTAAGTGCTGTAGAATTTGAATCCCAAATACCAGGGAAGAGAACTTGAATCTAAATTTTTAAAATGGCAGGGTTTTGAATGAAAGAGTGGGGAGAGGGAAAGAGAAATAGATGTACTGATTTTGTATTCTGTAAAACTGAGCTTGGAATCTGAATCAATAAATCTTTGAAATGTGAAAACCAGGGTCAGACAAGCAAAATAAAGGTACAGCCAGGAGCACTGTGTGAAAGGACCAAGTAATTTGGTTCTTCAAAACTCATATTAAGGTATCTTGCATAAAAATCAAGGGTCGGATTTTTAAAGTCCTCAGAAAAATTTCAATGATTAAAGCAGAATTGGGGTTAGTCTGGAACTAGTTAATTCTAGAACACCAGCTTCAAATTATTTCTTCTTTCAAGATACAGCTTCCAATACCCACCGAGTTGCTGTGCCTCTACTTAAGTCATAAAGGGTTATGAGAGTTTAAATGTATCACTGAGATGTAAATTGTTGCTGTTCCATTTGGAGTCTGATATAGTTTAAAGAATATGTATTTCCTAAAGAGGTGCTTTTCAGATTTACCGATTAAATACCAGTGGTTCAGAAATCCCTCCTAATGTGTAGGAGGGAGCAAAGCAAGGGTGTATGTAGGAAGGTTTGGGCTTTGTTAAAGATCTTTTTTTTTTTTCGTCTGCAAAGCAAGCAACAAGGTAAAAATATGAGTGAAATTAAAAAATAGTCAGTTACGTTTCAGATAATATTTAAAGCTGAATTTTAGTTAATTTATCTTTAACCTTTGATGTTTTCAAATATTTTTAGGGAGCTCTTTTTCTGAGGATTGAAATCTACTAGTACTAGTCAGAAGAATAATACCATTTCTGACTAGTATATTAGGAGGACCTGGCTGGCCCAATTTTCCCTGATACATCTGGAAGCAAAATAAAAGACTATTTGAGTACTTTTTTTTAACTATAAAACCTGGAAAATATCTGATCTAAATATCACTGGAAAGATGCTCAATGTGTTACCTTCTTCTGAGATTTAGGTGCATTTTATTTTCAACAACTGTAAAGCCTATCCCTAAATTGGAATTTTCTAATATAAAGAGAGTTCTCTAATACTGTCCATATTAGACAACCTTTAACATGCTTTTGTGCATGTTTTGAGATACAGATGGGTATCTGACTATTTAATTCAAATGTATGAAGACATCATGGAAAACAGTAATGTGAACAAATCAGTTCCATTTTAGTTTAGGTATAGCAATATTGTGATTCACCTGCCTGCATTGTCATTATTCATGCAAACAGTAAGTATATCAATAAGTGTTTTAAGGATTGTACCTTTGAGAGTTGTGCAGTGTGTATATGACAGTCATGTGCAGATTTTACCAGTGAAAGTGTCTCTCTTCATTACAGGATTTGGGTAATAGCATATTTGGAACCACCAAGAAAAGTAATCAGAACAGGAGCTCATCGTATGTATTATTAGTATATTAAGATGCTCATTACATGCTTTTAGAAAGAGACTTCTGTACTTTCTGCAAGTTACCAGTTCAGTTCTGCAGTATACTTCAGATGAGAAATTTATGTAAAATTAAGAGTTACGGCAATTCAGCCTAAGTTTCTTTAAATGAAGCCTGATTAATGGAGACAAGGGAGATCCGTATAAACAAAGTATATAATTCTGGGTGGAATGCAGACTCCTTTTTATTGTAAAAATATTCTAATCTTCTCATTCAATCAGTAGGATCACCTTAGCATCTTTAACTAGCCATTATTCCAATCTAGTGAGCATGAAAAGTTATATTTGCTTTTGCTGTGCAAATTGCATGTTTCCTTTTTTGATAATTAAAATGCTAGCAGCTAGCTACTGGAAGTGTCATTCTTTGATTAATCTCTTTTGTACTGAGTCTGCACATATACAAAATATTTAGCTTGGATTTCTTAATGGGTTTTCAATAGTTATTAAGCTTTGATTATATTTAGTGAAAGTGTACTGATTTCAAAAGTGGTTTCAATCTTACTGTGGGGTTTTGGATTTTTTTCCCCAGGTTGATCAATCATTAGTTTAGCATTGGAGGTATTTTTTCACATGCAGTGCTGTCTATGTTCCTTTTTCTTTTCTTTCTTACTTTCATAGATTTCCTTTATGTTTCTCTTACTTAGTAACACTATGGATGTAATAAATGAAAAACACTAGGAAGCTGCCATATCCCATGTGATATCACTGTGGAAAGAGGAGAAAAAGATACTTTGGTTTTTTAACCATACTGTGGGTTTTGGTTTTTGGGTTGAGTTTGTGGGGTTTTTTGTTTTGTTGTTTTTTTGTTGTTTTGTTGTGTTGTGGTTTTTTTTTTTTTTTGGTTTGGTTGGTGGTGGTGGTGGTGTTTTGGTGGTGGGTATTTTGTCTGTTTGTTTTACCCAGTCGTTTATAGGCAGTAGGAAAACCTCATGCTTACTAGCAGGACATACAGGCTGTTGAGTGGCCTGATTCTGTCACTTAGCCCATTGTCTTCAGTGGGATCTCTCTGGCCTGTGAGGTGAATCATATCTGCTGTCTTCTGTAACAAAGCCTGCTTTAATGTTAATACTGATGCTCTCATCTTTCTGCAGCCTTGCTAATCCAAAGGACCATCAGTTTAAAAAGTCTGGTTTTGTGCAAGCAATGGTAATAGCATATGTAGCTCTGAATACATCTCAGCATTGATTGAAAAATGAACAATTGTGTACGAGATTGAAGTGGTCTTTGAAACTCTTATTGCAGTGTAAATGATATGAACAGTGGTGCAGGATTGTAAAAGCAGCTCAATATGAGGCAGAAAAAGAAGCATGCTGTAAAATGTATCTGTTGTTCAGTAAGATTGCTGATTGGTGCAATGAACAAAGTTGCGCTGTTATTTTGTTTTATGTTTGCTGGTAAAACCTTTGTGAGTTTTGCTTTCACATAGGTTAAATCTCTTTATAAATGTTAGCTTAATGATAGAATTTTGGAGTAAAATAGCAAATGTTTGTTTTAAAACAGGTTGAGAACTTCAGAGGAAGCTGACAGTAAGTTTTTGGTTGCTTGTTATTCATTTTAATTTTTCTCTGCAAATCTCACTCTGTCAATTATGAAGTAAAAAGTCCAAATAAGAGTCAATTTAATATAGTTGGAGGGTTATAGGAAAATGTTCAACTATTATCTCATAGTATCATAGGATGGTTAGGGATGGAAAGGACCTTAAAATCATCCAGTTCCAGCCCCCTTGCCGTGTCACCCAAGGCTCTGTCCAACCTTGCCATTTCCAGGGGTGGAGCGTTCAGTACTTTGGACAATACATTCCAGTGCCTCACAGTGAAGAACTTCTTCCTTAAATCCAACCTGAACTTCCCCTGTTTAAGTTTGAAGCCATTACCCCTTTTCTTATCAGATATAGGATATATGTTAGTTACTAATTTGTGTTTTAAAATGAAAGATGTTTTATGAGTGTATGTTTTCCTTATGGTAACTGCAAAATCTTAAAAAAAAAATATCTATTTTTTACTCTAGTCTGCCCAGTAATGTTGTCCTTTTCAGCAGGAAGAAACTGTTTAAAATGATGGTGTTGCATTCATCCCTGGCAGTCTAAGAGACCTCCTAGGTTAAAGCAGGCGGTATACCTGAGGATAGATTGAGATATAAAATTTTAAATATATGCATGATTTTTGAAGTTGAAGTTTGCTGTAATTCCTCTGTTTGTGTGTTTTCCCTGAAATCATGCAATCAGTGAAGGACTGAATTTATTATGAAATGGCCAATAAAGAAATTCAAGGTTATAGTGAAAAATAACTTTGTTCTGCAACAGTAGAGTGTTAGTTAACTTTACTTCTATTTGTTGCCTTTTAGTCTATCTTCCAGTTTTCCTGAAATGCCACTTAGCTGTATGAGGCTGAGCAGCTGGGCATCAACCTCTTTTTGAGGCTAGCTGTGGTGCAGAAATGAGTCGCTCTTAGACTATCTCTCCTTCAAGTACTGCTCTGTCTGGGTCCGGCTGTGCACGAAACGCTGCTGTACAGAAGCACACTGCTGCAGGCCTATTGAGTTGTGGGGCTAGTCTCTAGAGTGCACCATTACTTTGATTAAAATCCAGTTTTGCCATCCTCAAAAGGAATGGCTTAATGGCAGTTCCCTGCTTCATGTTTTTTGTTTTACAACATACAAACTGCAATAAAACTAGTTGGATCCAGCAAGAAAGAGAGCAAAAGGGACTTTGAATCACCAATGATGCTTAGTGGAAATGCTGGCTCTTTCCCCAAAATCCATTTATGTTTTTTTTATTTAAGATTTCTTTTGCTAGAAAATGGAATATAAACAAATAAAATACACCAAGAAAAACAGTGTAATATTCAAATATTTTAATGCAGATTCAGTTTTGATTATCTCCTTTTTCAGAATTGCAAGTAGTACGGTATACATATTTTCTGAAATCTGGCATTTTGAAGGACTGTTTTCCAATAGAACGTAGTGATTTTTTCTAATTGATTGAAACATGCTCATAAATCTTGGTTTTATTAAAAAGACTTTATAAAACCAAGATTTTTGGGCCAAGTTTGATCTGTCTGTGCCTGTTAAATATGTAACCACAGAAATTGTTTGTCTATTTAAGTGAATTTTTAATGCTATGGGTTAATGGGATAGTATTAGTATAACTTTGGTGTGTTAGTATAGTTAATGGAACATTTAATATCTGAGGATGAAGTTGGAAAAATCATGCCTTTGGAAGGCTGTGAAGCATGATAGACAGCAAAGAGCTTTAAATATCCCAGAGGTGTAATTGGCTTAGAGAAGCTACTTGTCCTTGAGGTTAATTGCACAAGTTTCCCACCATTTCCCTGCATAAATAAGTCATCTGGCTGTATTACACTGATGTCTGAAATCTGCCAATATACTGTACATTATAACATAGTTAAAGCCTATTAGTAATTCTTCTCTTTAGAATGTTGAGACAGTAATTCTGATTAATCTGTTTCATGACAAACTCTGGGATGGAAGGAAATTAAAAATCATGCATTTATATCTGCTGTAATAATTAATGTAATGATCCTTTAAACATTATTTCAGATATGTTTGCCTGCTTGAAAACATCTCAAGATCTGCATCATCACTACTCAGGTAAGCAGGAGACACCAGAATGATAGCTAAGTAATTTGAGAAATTAAAAAGAACATTAGATCTTCCCTTGTCATCTTCCATGGTTTTCATTGTGAAGAGTTGCACAATTGCCCACTGCTAAGAAGGTTCTTTATTAATTCATGCCTAACACTCCAGTGAGGAAATTATGAATTATTTTCTTGCTGCTAATTGCTCAATTCCAGCATTTCTGGTAAATCCTGAGGAGAATGTAGATAATCTCATTCAAACTACCAGTAGAAACAATGAATAATGCTCCGATTCCTGGGAGGGCAGAAGAGCCACTCATTTGTTTATGGCTGTCACCCTGACACCTCCCACATCCTCCTTTGTACTTTCTGGAATTGGTTTCTTCAGTTAATTGGTCCTGTACTACTTAATCTGTGTTTATATACCTATGAAGTCCAGCAAATTTGGCAGGGAATAAATCATTTGAATGCTAATTGCCTGCAGTCCTGTCTTTTCCTGAGCTGAGTGTGCACAGATTTTCCCACAAGGTTTGGATTTTTCCCGGAGGAGAGCTCAGCAGAGCTTGCCAGTAGATGTCTCTATTGCCCACAGGACTTGGCCGCCTTTAAACGGAAGCTTGGGATAATCCAGAAGCATTATCAACCTCCTAAAGTTCAAAAACCCGCGATTTTCACTGGGAATAACACCTCCTGGTTCGTAATCAGTGTACAGGAGTAATTTCTCTGACATCATGGCATTGTTGCAGTGATTATTTTGGCTCATGCCAGGCATGCTATTTGAGATTAGGTAGGACTTTTTAGCACAGAGAGTGGTTACCATTATGAGTTGACAAATGACTTCAGAGGTTTTCAGTGAAGGTTTTCTTTCTTCAGGAAGATTGTGGTAGAATTTAGCCAACTAAGGGTAAAAGCTTGATACTGAAATCCGGCACCATATACTGTTATGCATTATTTTTGCTATCATGTGCAGGCAAGTACAGTTCTGCCTCTCTGCACACCCCAAAAAACTTGAGTTTTGACCCAAGTTCAGCATCAGGTGCATGTCCATGTCACATTGTTTCTAAGGCCTCTAGAATGAGTGCTAGCAGGGTCTGACAGCACAGGTCTGTCAGCTCCCCTTTTCACATCCTTGTTCATGCTATGCACTAATTTTGTGACTAGAGCTTGTTCCTAGTGAGGCATCAAAGGAGGACCATGCTCCAGAACTACTCAGGCATGTTAACCAATGCCTGTCACATTTGACATATGTAAACAAGCCTTGAAGTGAAGTCTGCAGATCTTCTCAAATGAGGACCTTAATTCATGGGTTGTCATAGTGTGGGTTTCCTTTGCTTTCTCTTCTGGGCTAAATAATCTCCAATTAATTTCTGCTCAGAGAGTTAATCTTAAGAAGGACAGATGATGTCTAGGCTCTGGAAGAGTCTCCCATCAAGGCTTTTTGGTTGTTCTGCAGAGAAACACAGGTTTGTTGTGGTTGACTGTCTGCTTTGGATGCTAGTTTTGTCTTCAGCCATCAAATAGGGAAATGAGGCAGTCAGCACTGTAGCATCTGAGTTGCCTTCTTATTCTAGTCTTACCCTCTTTGTGGCTTACTTCACAGCTTTCTTCCCCTTCCTGATAACTGAAGCTATGATGAGGACAAATCCATAAATATTTAGATAGCTGTATGAAGTTTTGGAGGTGTTTGCCTGAGAAATAAGCTGCCAGTTAGGGAGACATAACGTTAGGGATGTTGTTTGGTGAGGAGCCCAGATGAAGAGACAGTGCTCTTTTCAAGGGAAGCTTGGATTTTCCTTTGATGCCTTGTTAAATCCCCAGGTAGTTTTGAGCTTGATGAGACAGGCAGTGAGGGCAGCTGGGGCCAGTGCATCTTATTGGCAGTGTGAATGTTTCTGCACTGGAGCTGACAGGAGGAGGAAGTGGTGACAGGCCTTGGTGAAAGGAGGAGGATGGAGAATTAGCTGAAGCAGTTCTTCCAGCCAGTGTGTAGGGGGCTTGTCCTGGAAAGCCTGTTTCCTTGGAAGAAGGGAATCAATGAATGGGGGAAAGAGTGGCAGCTAGTGCATGTGACATACCATGAGTATGCAAAAGGAATTTGCTGTCTGGGTAGAATGGTGATCAGATCTGACATAGGATCACACTGCACCCTCTTAGGCTTTCTGCACTAAAGTGCCACCAGATGCTTCTGAAACTCAGCCAGCTTGTTGTTTATTCATATAGTAGTGAAATCCATGTTTTTTTGCAGCTGTTGAAAGGAACAACTTAATGAGACTTGCTCAGACGATACCATTTACACCAGTTCAGCTCTTTGGTGAGTACCAACTTCCTGGTTATGTTATTTATAAATGTTATAAATAGTTAGTGCATTATCTTTTAAATATGTTGAATAATTTCCTTGGATTAATTTCAGCAATTCTTTTTTCTAAAAGAGGTGAACCAAGATAGAATTGTAGTCATGTAATAGTTTAGAGACTTTTGGAAGTCATCTGGTCCGACTCCCTTTGTGGCCAGTTGAGATCAGGTTGCTGAGGTCCTGTCCATTTCCATTTTGAAAATTTCTTTAAATGGTGATTCCTTAGCTTCTCTGAGCAACCTTTTCCAGTGTTTGACTGACTTCAGTGTGAACCTAGTACTTTTCTCAGTATTTGTTGGTGTTTCTCTTGTTGTAGCTTGTTACCTGTTGGCGTTCATGTGACTGCTGTCAACTTCAGAGGTGAATCTAACTCCATCTTCTCTATAGCTATCATTAGGATAGCTGAAGACAGCAAAAAGATTCCCTTTAACCTTAATACCTGCTCCGTCTCTCTCTACCCCCCTCTCTCTCACAGTCATACTCTCTCTCATGTAGCTATAGGTATAGACTATCCCATAAAGAACGTAGTGGTTGAGAGGGCACTACTCCTATATCTGGCATGGACGACTTGTAGTATACCAAGGAAAAAAGAACCGTGCTGTAACTGAAGAGTGGTAGAGAATGCTATATGAATTGTTTGGAAGAGTTCTGAAATTAGTGTGCAGTACTAGCTTACATCAGGAGAAACTCTGCCTCTAGATACTTGAGAGCTAGGTGCCTTCTTTTCAATGGGTAGAATATTTTGTCTCACAGCAACTAATTGCTCATAGGATTTCCTGGGACTAGATTGCTGCAGATAATAATATAGCTATGAGCACAGTGAACATTTTAAACTTTGAAGCTCTCAGGAAGCACCTTTCTAGGTATAAAATTGTCAAACGATAATAAAACGGAGAATAAATGTAAGATTAAAAAGGGTGTCTAGTTATAGTATCTTTATTCAAGCATCTGTCTTTTATATAAGACACTGGCTCTCTGTTGCTCTATTTTAAATTAAAACATGTACAAACAGTGGTGTTTGACAGCATTGACACTTGTGCTAACTAGTGAAGGCAGGCTTGGGAGCAGGGAGGAAATCTACTTGTCTCAACCCTGTTTGTCCTTCCATATACCATTCTTTGCCATTCTGTGGATGTAGTTACATCACTCTTGCTGGTGAAAGCCTTTCTTACAAATTAGCATTGAAAATAGTGTGAGTTGTAAGAAGGAAATCCAAGTTTAAAAAATCAGTTAACTTTTCTATATAGTTTACAAATGATGGCAACAGAAAGGTGTCTCACTTATGCTGCAGGAGAACAATGCTACTACAAGTACATAGGGAAACAGTGTGACTGAGTTAAAGCTCACCAGGTTTATTCTGCTTTTAGAAAGATGTTATCAGCAGGGGCAGATCATCTGAAATTTTTCACAGTATAAATAACATTGGAATTTATAGGAAAAAAAGAAATCTTAGTTTAAAACACCAGAACTGTAAATGTCCAATCAGTTTGCTTTAGCTTGTTCTCCTAGGATTCCTTGCTCCAAGGAAAGTCATGTTCTTTTCAGTGTAATTTCCTTGGCTCATTGTGGCCAAGTCACCGTTTTTGAAACAACTCAGCTGTCCGTTTGTGTTGAAAGGTGGCATTCTCCAGCCCTTTATTTTTGTAATCAGTAACTGTTAGAAGCAGTTTGTGTTTGTTTGATTTGTTTTGGTTTTTTTGTTGGGTTTTTTTTGTGTTGTTTTTTTTTTTTTAAATTGGCTGAGCACAGTTATGAGGAAAATACTGTGAGTGTTGCATGTATCTTGATAAACAGTCTGTTCCACTGCATAAACAGAGGGAGCCACACTCAGGATATTTAAGATTCATACACTGAAGATAGAATGGTAACCCTTTAAAAGTAGGTACTTTCAAAGCTCAACCTCTCTTGAGTACTCAAAAAAGTGTGGCAGATGAGATTGATATTCTTGTCTATATAAATCTATGAGTTCTGTTTGTGCGGATGTGTCCAGGAAGTCTTAAATTCATCTCTTTTTAGAGATTTAGTACAAACTCTTTGGACCACTTATGCAATCACAATAGATCTTCAGCAGAATGTGTAAGTAGTGTAAGTTTAGGCTGGCAAAGTTTTCACACAGTAATGATAAAAAAGCTCTTTTATAGTGTGGTTTACAAAGGTGTGTAAAGTGGTCATGTTATTTTAAGACAACAAATCAAAATGCATTTCTCTCCTGGGGCTGCTAACAAAACTTCCATTTATTTAAGATGGAGAGGAAGTGACCGTCTATCGGCTAGAAGAAAGTTCACCTATGAGCCTTGATAAAAGCATGTCTTCCTGGTCCCAGCATGGTGTGGCTGCAATGATCCAAGTCTTGTCAAGGGAGGAAATGGATGGGGGTCTGCGGAGGGCCATGAAGGTCATCTGTACTTGGTCTGAAAATGACGTATTAAAGCTGGGACAAGTATTTATTGTGAAGTCTTTTCTGCCAGAGGTGGTTCAGACTTGGCAAAAGATCTTTCATGATGGCACAGTGTTGCATCTCTGCCTCAGGGTGAGTTCCGACCTAAAGGCACACTGACTGGTGTAGCCTGATGTGCCTTAAATACTATACTCTTACATGAGAATGTCTTCAGCGTGGTTGACATGGTTTGATATTATCTTTTGGAAAGGAAAAAGCTTTTGAGGAAGATATATCTCCCATTTGTAAACTGTATACAATTGTGTCCATGTGTGTGCTTGTGTGTGTTTTGACAAATTCATGTCATCTTTCTCTTTGAAAATGAAAATTATGTTTACAACATTATTTTCTCCAGGAGATCCAACAGCAAAGGGCTGCCCAGAAGTTAATCTATACCTTCAATCAAGTGAAGCCTCATACTATTCCTTATACTCCAAGGTAAAGTCACTGTCTTTAAGTATTAGGTGTCAAAGGTTTTCTTTTCAGCTGTGTCCTGGTCTAGTGTAGCCTTCTTTTCCAGTGGGTTGGAATATAAGAAGAAAGATAGGCAGCTTTGAACTTTGTCTTTATAGCTACATGTGATGGCAAAATAAGCTTCTTCATGCTGTTACTTAGATTTAAGTAAGAAGTATCTTTTATACAATAAACATAAACAGTTTGGTATAGTTCATTTACAAGGTCCTACACCTGGGTTGGAGCAATCCCAGGCACAGCTACATGTTGGGCAGAGAAGAGATTCAGAGCAGCCCTGCAATGAAGGACTCGGGGGTGTTGGTTGATGAGAAAATGAACATGGGCTGGCTTCAGTGTGCGCTTGCAGCCCAGAAAGCCAACCGTATCCTGGGCTGCATCAAAAGGAGCGGAACCAGCAGGTGGAAGGAGGTGATCCTGCCCCTCTACTCTGCTCTTGTGAGACCTCACTTGCAGTATTGTGTCCAGTTCTGGGGTCCTCAACATAAAAATACATGGAACTGTTGGAACAAGTCCATAGGAGGGCCACGAGAATGATCAGAGGACTGGAGCACCTCCTGTATGAAGACAGGCTGAGGAAGTTGGGGCTGTTCAGCCTGGAGAAGAGAAGGCTGCGTGGAGACCTCATAGCAGCCTTCCAGTATCTGAAGGGGGGCTATAAGGATGCTGGGGAGGGACTCTTCATTAGGGACTGTAGTGATAGGACAATGGGTAATGAGTTAAAACTCAAACGGGAAGTTTAGACTGGATATAAGGAAGAAGGTCTTTACTATGAGGGTGGTGAGGCACTGGAATTGGTTGCCTGGGGAGGTTGTGAATGCACCATCCCTGGCGGTGTTCAAGGCCAGGTTGGACAAAGCCTTGGGTGAGATGGTTTAGTGTGAGGTGTCCCTGCCCACAGCAGAGGGGTTGGAACTAGATGATCTTAAGGTCCTTTCCAACCCTAACTATTCTATGATTCTATGATATGGTAGGATAGAGTAAACCAGGTTTTGTTGTTTGTGCATGAACTATATTTTCTGATAAAAGTACTTTGTTTTGAGAGTTACCAAACTGAAAAAGCCTTTGTGCTGCCCACCATTTGTTATCTCCTGTTGTTCAAATGCTCCAATTAGGGAAGATGTGTCCTTCTTTATGGTATATTTGCTTTACATCATGCTGTGTGATGATTGTGAGAATATTCATTATCCTGCCAGGCCCTGATAGACAGCATTTGTACCTACAGGTTCCTGGAAGTTTTCCTCATCTACTGCCATTCAGCGAACCAGTGGCTGACCATTGAGAAGTACATGACTGGCGAGTTTCGGAAGTACAACAACAATAATGGGGATGAGATTACCCCCAGCAGCTTGCTGGAAGAGCTGATGCTGGCTTTCTCTCACTGGACCTACGTGTACACCCGTGGGGAGCTCCTTGTCCTGGATTTGCAAGGTGACTTGTAGCAGAGATCACTATTTGACACCCAATGTAAAGCAATTACCTAAAGAAACAATGTAATACTGTGGAATGGTCCAAATTCTGTTCTTATTGACATACTGGCAAAGCTCAAGAACCCCCTGGGTATCTGTTGTGTGGCACTGGTAAATGGGTATCCACAGACACTCTAGATTAATGTAGATGTAAAGGGAAAATAATTTGACTTCAAATACATCTAGGTTCAATGGGCAAAAGAGCAAGTAGATAAAGTGTGAAGGAACATTTCAGCCAGCAGAAAAAAACCTCACTCCACAGTTAAGATATTTTTATTAACATATATAAATAATCCAGAGATTCAAGCGTACCCACATGTTTATGCACATGATATGTGTATATCTGTCAGAAGTGTGAAGTGCTATCTGTATATTTTACTGTTCATATTAATAAATCTGTAAGCAGTTTGCATAAGCTACAAACCTGAGTGCTATTCACAAAGTCTTGCGACTCCTTCAAAGAGCATGTGATCACTTTACTGTACATGTGTAAGTGGGAACATGGCATATTTTAAAGAGATAAAACAGTTGACAATGTTCAGAAGATGAACATCACCCATCAAACAGTACAAACACTATTGTTTGTCATTTCTGTCACGAAAAATGTGTATGGATAGACAACGACTTAGCTTCTGGATGCCAAAAAATGTAAATATGTTGTGAATTACAAGAAAGACATGCTTATTATGCAAAATAAACTTATAATGCCATCCTTGCCTTCATTTGGTTTTATCTGCATATGAAAAAAAATACAGGAAGATTGTGCCTTCACCATAGCATACTAGAATTTGTCTGAAGTTTGCTTAAGTTTATTATGCAACTCTTGACAGTTCCAGACCAACTGTGTTGGCTCAGACATGGAGAATTTAAACATCTATGTAAATCTCATCAAGACTGGAGCTTCAATTCCCATCTCAAACAAACTGAAATCTGCTCTAGTTTTTGCCTTGTGTTTATCTTCTAGTTCCCTAATCTGGAGTTTAGGAAAAGTGCAAGGGCTGATCCTGTTGGAGTTCTAATAGGATTAGTCTATATCACGATTTCCTATATATTGCCTGGGCCATCTCCACATACATACACACCACATTTTGTCTAATTTACATCAACTGAAATGACCTTCATTGAAAAGTGTTGCAATCTGAGGATATTTCATTCACAGCAAAATAATTTACTTGGATTCAAGAAAAAAGCTTTTTGGTAAAACGGTAGTATGTCATCAATTTGGGGAAAAATGTAACATAGATATTAGCATTCAGGTATCATAATGAAATAATTTATTTAATAAGCCTCCGTGGCCACCCAGAAGAAAAAAAGAGATAACAGATCCAAGCATCTGCAAATAACAGAGTTGTGGCTTATGTTTGTTACCTTGAAAAGAACATGTATCCGAGAGTAGATATTTTCATATCCATAAGATCCACATCTGATTAATACCTTTACTCCAATTTAAGTAGCAGTCTTAGAGTTGTTCACATTTTGCTTAGTTGAGTTTCAGCATAATATTTAGTGCATTTGCATAAGCCTGCCATCTACATATAAATAAACCTCAAAGCAACTGAAGTCAGGACTGTAATAAGAACTCTATGTTTGCCACTACCTAACAGATTTTTATACTCATTGCATTTTCTTTTTAACTCATGATCACTTTAATTATGAGACAGTATGAACACGGATATTTACATTTTTGGAAGTGCCAGATTATGAAATTGTGATTACCTTCCTTTGTAACACACAGGTGTTGATTTTATTGTAGGTGTTGGGGAAAACCTTACGGATCCATCTGTAATTAAACCTGAAGACAAAAAGTAGGTTTATTTCTGATGAAATTATCATTTGCTTCACACGTTCTGCTAACAGTCTGTAGTTAGGGTGTTTTTTATGATCTGTGAGAGACATAGTTATTTTTCACACTGTGTTTGAGTTAAATGAAAGTATTGATGACAGTGGAGAGAAACCATACTCTGCTGTGCTTAGAAGGACTGCAGGTGTTCCAGCTCCCAATGTGTGGTGAGTGGTGTATGAAAGGTGGGAAGAGCCTGTGTTGCTGTGCTAAGGGCACAGGAGTTTTCCAGAGCTGTGAAGGGAGAGCAGGAACAAGAGACAGAAGACCCTGTAAGTCTCTTCACAAATTTGTACTGAAGGTGGTCATCAGTAACTTAAATGTTAAACCCAACTGGTTTCCCCTGGCCACTGTTCCATGGACTATATGGGGCCACAGTGGTTTTAGAGGAAAGGGCTTCTGGATCTCTTATCTTTTTGATAGGTTCTAGTGGTACATTTAAGCTTGCTACACATTAACAATCTCAAAGCCATGATATGCAGATGATAAATCATGTGTGAAAACTTACAAAAACTGGAGAGACTACAGAAATAGCAGTCTGCCTTCATGCATCAGATTTCAGAATCAGAACCATGGTCATTCTCCCATCCTGTAACCTTGCTCCTAACTAGTATTTGCTGTAGTGAAAGGAGAAGCAGTAGTGTTGATAGTTGCTGTCCTGCAGGGTCCTTTTTTATGGAAATTCTCCCTAAGCCCATACATATCTCCAGCCTGTGCCTTGGCACTTCTGCTCCTCCACTGTCTTGTGTTCAGCTTGGCTCCCTCTTGGTCAGTTCATGTCATCTGGCTGAAGAGGTTTCTAATGTTTGGAAGGAAGATTTAAGTATGAATAGTCTGATTTAATACAAAGCTCAATTAACTATAGAAATATCAGATGACTTGCCTAGAACTCATAGCAAGTTAATTTTGAAAGCAGGCTGTTAATTCTGAGACCATTATTAATATCTAATTAATAAGATTAGTAATAAATGACTGTATTAATGTTTTATGATTTTTAAATTATAAATGTAGGTGTATCAGCCACATAATATTTATTTTGGAAGCAACATCAAAAATACGCCGAACACCTCACAATGACTAAGTTTTTGCCCTAAGTGGGTCATAGGACAGAAGAATAGCTTAAGATAGAGAGGCAGAGAGGTTGGTCATGCAGCTGTTCATCAATTTTCAGCAAACATTTTAAAGTATTGCTACAGATGTATGGAAATCTGGTTTGCTACCATTCAAGTGGATTTTTTTATATCAGTGGTAGGATAAACTGTAATAGCTGTTACTGAAGACTGTGGCCACTCACCTGGCAACTCAGCTTATCCTCTTTAAAATAGAAATGATATTTATCTATATGCTCTTGAAGTGCATGTTTATTAGTGTTCTGGATTATTTTTGTTATTAAATAATTTTGTCATGCTTACTAAAATTTGATCACACAGATCTTATTTTCAGAATTTTTTATTGCTTTGTTTTTACCATCTTCAAAACAGGTAAGTCCTAGTTCAAGAGAAGTGTTGATTAATTAATCAAGACCAGTTTTGATGTAAGTTTGGGGAAATCTTCAGAACAGCAAGTTGTGAAACTATATTGTTTTGATACAGTTATCTAAAGGAGTAAGACAGTGAAATGATGGATGGTTTCTGTAAGCAGCGAGCAGATACCCAGCTCTAAGAAACACTTTCTAAAATAGTCATAACAATAACAATGTAAAAGCACTGTCTTTGCTCTGACCTTCCTTTGCTCACAAGATAAATATTTCTGGCAGTACCAAGATCTGTTTGAAGTTTTCATTTGTAGGTAAGATATTTAATCAAATCATGCATGCTGCCTCAAAAGTTGCTTTGAGCTCACGCTGTCTTAGAAGCCTGAGAGAAAATAGATGGTATCTGTCTGATGGGAGTGATTCAAACTTTAGGACTACTTATGTTTAAATTATTTAAGTTTTGCTTCTGTAATTCCATTGATTTAGGGGCTCATGTATTTACCTTGTAATGAGTCCTTTCTTTCATACATACTGCGTGCCTGGAATTGGACTTTGTAATGGCAAATGATGAACTCTAATTCTGTGGTAGTGTGTTCTGGCTTGGTTTTATATATAGCACCAAGACAAAAATAACAGATTTCTTTGGAAAGTATGTCAGATACTGTGATGTCTCAACAGATCCCGAGCTGATGTAAATTGGTGTAAATTCATGGATATTTAACATTGGTTGAAGATCTGGCCATGTGCACTTCATAAAATGTATGTGTGATCAAACAAGGCAGGTGTAATGTTAACGAAAGGATTTCCTTAAAAACCAGAAGTAATAGAGGCACAGCAGCAAGGTTATGACAGTGCAGTCCCTGCAAACTCCTGTACTGCCTGGCTGTTGGGAAGAATTGCCTCATAAGCAGTATTCTGGATGCCTTTTTTAGTGTGTACTACTCACCAAATCCACAACAAAGTCCATGTTGGTAAAGCTTTCATGGATACTGTGCAGATTGTCTGTCGAGCAGCTTTGGAGATGAGAAAAATAGTGGGCTGAGTTTAAATTGGATAGAACTAATGCATTAAGCCTGCTGAGAGGGGTGAGAAAAGGGATGCTGGTAGTCAAAAATCCCATTACAAATATGTGAAAAGGAGTCAGAGGTGCTAGGTCTCTTACTCTCCCTTTTGAAAGCACTCAAGCAGATAGTGATGGGCTGCAGGTTTTAGTAATGAGCAGAGACCATGTTCGCTGAAGCTACTTATTAGCATTTGTTTTGATGAACAAATCTATTGAATTTTAGCAAGCTGTGTGCTTCCAGCCAAACAATTTATGGTTGAATTGCTGCCAGTAGACAAAACATCTGCATGAACTGAACCTCTGCTGTAGAAATGTGCACAACTGAAACAGGTGGGCTGGAAGCTACCTCTACAAAAACATACTGAATAAATGATTTGGGCACCTCCCTGGGGAGATGCTACTTGCCATGAAGCCCCCCACAGTCCTTTACCTTCCATCAGTAAGCCCTGTTAAATATCTTATCGTCTGCTTTGAGTATTTGCAGCTCTAGACTATAAGAAGCACTCTGCTTTAGCACTATGTTAACCTGCCTGCTGGCCAGCACCAACCTGGTGCAATCTGACATGCATTAATGGAGCATAACTAGTAAGTAAGGTTCTGTACAAAAGGAGGAGCATGTTTTGTTTTTTTAAGCCCATTAGCTCACATTAATGCAACTGCTTGGGAAACAGGAAAGCTGGGCTCAGTATTTTTCTCTCCTTGGAGATAAAATCAGAACTTGAATAACCAGGGGAGTGACCTTGTTTGTAACATATTTGTAGGATTAGAAGGGACCTGAAATGTTCAGCTGGTTCTTCTGCATCGGGTCATTCCTGGCTTTATAGGTCTTGTACAGACAAATCTTCAAGTTTTCCAAGGATGACCTTAAAATCTTCACAGACCTATCATTACTGTCTGAAAGATTTTTCTTGATTTCCATCTTGAAATATTTCTTTCTGGTCCTGCTTACTGTCAACAGGTAAAAAAAAATATTGCAGAAAGCTCAGTCACTATCTTCTTCCTCAATGTATTTTTGTTTGGTTTTTTTTGTTTGTTTGTTTTTGTTTTATTGTATTTTTTGTTGTTGTTGGGGTTTTTTGTTTGCTTGTTTGTTTCTTTTTTGTTTGTTTTCTTTTGTTTTGTATTTTGTTTTCCTTTTTAGGCTACTCCCTAATCTTTTCATGTGTGCCATGATTTCTAGACTGCTGCTCATTCTTGTTATTTTTACCAATTTACCCTCATATTTCTTGAAATAATTTTCCAAATTTAAATGCAGTATTCCTCTTGAACCATTGCCAGTGCTAGACAGAGAGGGAAGATTGCTTCATGTATGTTGCAGACAGTATTCCTGTTCACCTCACGAAAGCATGAGAAAATTATCAGTCCGTCTTGTGCTATTTTCTGCACTTTGCATGGAATAAAAGATCGGACGAAGTACCAGAGTGGGTTTGTAGCCTTGGAGTTAGTGAAGTCCTCTCAATTTCCTATGCCTGCCCAAGCAAATAATTATGTTCTATTCTTTTTGGCATTTTACCAGATTATACCAAGGGATAGAAATGACTATGTAGCATCATGTCATTTAAAGTGTATATATGGCACTTAAATAATATTTCACTTCTTGCTTCATTTGATGTACTAATTTGCAGTAAAGGCTGATTGGACCTTCAGATGATCCAGGAGACAGTCTTTAGCATCTACCAGAACTTGGAGACTAAGCTTTCTATAGTAGTTTTGGCTAATCATCGCTTTTTTCCTGTGTGAAAGTGGATGGTGTTATATTTCAAAACGGCTTTATTTAGAGCGAATATATTTTGTTAGTGTGGATTAGATAGATTTGCAAGAGTTAAAATCTTTTTCTGTAGCTTTTCAGAGCTGTAATTGATTTCACATTTAAAATGTGTTGTTTACACTCTGTATATCATTAAAATAAAATACTAGCATTCATAAAGTTTCTTTGGAAATGTTTCTTGTGTGCTGTGTTCTGTGATGTCTAGAATGTCAATTAAATTCTTGAGAATAATGGTTGAGCAGTATTAAAATTAATGAACACTTATCTTTCAAGAATCTGTTGTAACAAGAATCTGTTATAATTATGTGGTACTTCTAATACATGTGTGTGCATAGCTTGCTTCTGTTTGTGATTGTGGCAGCTGCATTCAGAATATGCAATATACTTCCACAAATGGATCTTCTAGTAATGTTGCTGAATTGGCCAGAGTGCAGACACATGGAAATGAGTATAGGAAGAAGCCAATAAATTTTAAAGCTTTGCTTGTCAGCAACATACTGTGTTTTTTTCTGTAGTGCATCTTAATGTGACTAGGGCTCTGCTTGCTTTTGGCTTTCTGTTCTTAAATAAGGTACTAGTAAGTCACTGCAAGCTCTGGTTTGTTCCCAGGTGCTGACCATCAAAACTGGGACCAAACCATTTGCTTGATGAGACTCGGCAACAGTCAGATTCTAGCATATGTTGTCTAAATGTTTCTGTGCCCAAATTTTCTTTGAGCATTTTTGTAGGAATTGCTCAGTCTGTTCTGTCTCCCTTTAGAGCCTATCTCAGATGCAGCAGGAGGAAAAAGTGGTTTGGGGTATATGTAGGCTAATACCTTACCAGAACTGGCAGTTTTCTTGTGCTGGAACTAAGAAACTTGTGATGTGCATGTACTAAGCTTTGATTGTCTATATGCAAAGAGCTAATGTATCTCTGATTTACAAAATAGAAAACATTATTATCTCTCTCCCCTATAGTTGCTTTATTTTGAGTTCATTGATTATTTAATAATTTTTCTTTTAGATCTGGAAAGATGGTATTTGGACCAGCAAACCTAGGAGAAGGTGCAATAAGAAACTTCATCACAAAGCACCGTTGTAACTCTTGCTGCAGGAGGCTGAAACTTCCTGGTATGCAAAGTAAAGATTTTGAATCTATCTATAACTTTTTAAGTGCAAGGAAGTAAAGGCCTAAGCATGCTATAAGCACAAGGACCAAAATTCTATTGAGCTGAAAGATTATAGCAGGCACACTATCTGTTTGCAAGGGTGGATATGAGCATATTGCTCTTCTGCCCAGCAGCTGTATAAGGGTCGGAGCTGATCAATCTGATGTTAGCATTGAGCCTGAAAACTTCCCACTGAATTGTTTCCTTTGCTTTGCAAAATGATAGCTCATTTTTTCAGTCATCACTACAGGTAACATCAGCAATAATTTTAGAGTCAGAAAGAGTAACAATCTGAAAATTGGCAATGGATTAGGTGAGGGAAAACTCACTGAAGGTTTCCTGGCCATAGGGTAGGATCCTATACAATGCAGCCTTTCCTTCTGCTTAGTTGGAGAATTGTGTTGCCTATTTGTGTTAGATTTGGTAGAATATGCTTATTTTTGATATAGGGCAGATTTTAAAAGACACAAAACCAAAACAGATTGCCATGCTGGATGAATTTCCACCCACCTCACAGTATGCTAGAGATTGGAAGGGACCTCGAAAGATCGTCTAGTCCAATCCCCCTGCCGGAGCAGGAACACCTAGATAATGTTACACAGGAATGTGTCCAGGCGGGTTTTGAATGTCTCCAGGGAAGGAGACTCCACAACCTCCCTGGGCAGCCTGTTCCAGTGTTCCGTCACCCTCACTGAGAAGAAGTTTCTTCTCAAGTTTAAGTGGAACCTCTTGTGTCCACCTGTTTTTTCCTAGGGGCAAGTGATTTCTCTTTAGTACCTACATGGAGGAGTAATTGCTGTTTTATTCTGAAACAGAAACTGTAGTGTTAATGGTTTTTATTATTTGCGTCTATGGCAGCTAGAGGTAATAGGCGGAAAGATCAGCTGAATTAATACAGTCAGAACAGGTTCTTTCATACCAGCTCACACCATTTTTGGGTCCCCCAGGGGTCTTATTCCCCTGTCTCTTCTAGAGACAGCTAGCAGACTACCTTTTTTATCAGGTTGGATGCTGCCTGGGTTGTACATGCTTTTCAAACATTTATTTTGCTGCATCATTTTATTTATTTTCTTGCCATAGATTTGAGAAGTGACTGCACACTGGAAAGGGTCAGTCCAGCCTTGGAAACAGAAATGGAGACAAGCACCAGAGAAGCTGATGATGCAGATGAGCCTTTGGAGTATGATACGCGGCTGTGAAGCAGTGGTTGTGAGCAGAGCCCATGTGCTTCCATGTTCCTGCTTATCACTGTCATGGGTCAGTCCAGAAGAACAGAAATGCAGGTGTCTGAGTGCAGCATCTGTCAGTGGTTTTTTGTTTGTTTGTTTGTGGATTTTTAAGTGTGAATTAGGGTTCCAAGTGGTGCTTTCTTAGGAAAATGACTGTGACAAGCATATTTCCAAGGAGGAGTGACTTGATGTTTCTCTTTCTCCTCTTTAGTAAATAACTGAATGTATACACATGTACAAATCATTACTTTTCAGAGGCAGACCCCACTCCGCCCCATGTTCACTCTTCTTGGGCATAGGAGGCTCTCCAGGAAATTGCAGAATACCTGCTCTATATTGTTGATTTTGATGCAGAGACAAACCAAGAATATACGAGTAATGGATTAGTGTTTTAAACAGTAGTCATTGATATAGCAAGTAGACTGAAAAGTTTTGTGGGAGCTTCAGTTTGAATTCTTTTCACATAACAAGAAAGTTGAACAATAAAGGATTAGGTAATTAGACCCACAAGCATAATTGACCTTCCTCATTTTGAGTTCACGAAATTGATAAATCTATGCTCTTTAACAAACATGAAAAATAACCTTGAATGTGATTCGACTTTTAACCAGGATCAGCCTTTCTTTATAATATTTTAGCTTCAGCATGTTTTGAAGTTGTAATTTGCAACAAAGATTTTAGAAGTCACAAAGAATAATATATTCTACTTGGTATGTAACTTCTTGTTGTCAGTGTCTGGCTGTATGTAGTACCTTCATTTAACAGTGGTGCAGTTATATCTATGCTTTTGCAGCATCTGCATCTGTTTCTGTTGATATTATCTGATTTCAGTAGAAGTTCACAAAACACAAAAATCAACTGTGGAATATGATTTTTTAAAGATTGAAATGAAGTGCTCAGGAGAAATATCTCTAATACAACCAGTGTTGTATTACAGTTAACATCTATCATTAAAGCAACTTTGCACTTTCGTATTGAGTAGAAATACCTAATGTTGAAATGTAAGTCAACAGAAAACTTTATACTTGAATAAGAAACAAAATCATATATCCACTACAGCTATAGTAAATTTTAATGCCTAAGGGAGCTATTTGTTATGATCTGTCATTCATTTTTTATAGTTAGAAAATGTCTATCTATACATAGGTATTGAAAGTTATATGTTCCCAGTTTTCATATTGATTATGGTATTGAAGATGGCATAGAAATAATCACTCAGACTATGTTCAGCTGAGATGCTAGTTCCCGTGAGCATCCTGGAAAGATTTTTCTTATTTTTTATCTTTTTAAAAATAGTTTAAAAGAAACATATTTTAACAGAAAACCCCGTTAGAATATACTGTTTGTTTTGCAAAAAATGTACTCCTTTTTGGCTTTTTTGGAAGTAATTCAATGTATCTGAATGTTTAGGTTGACTGTGAAATAGATTGTTTAACTGTATCTCTACAGAATGATGGTGGATTTTGATCCCTTTGCTGGTAAGGTAGTAGTTCTGCTTGCAGTGATTATCGTCTTAAAATTTGGCTTTATGGAGATATGGACTTACATGCATACTTATATACTTTAAAGGCAGAATTTTCACTACAGGATCTCTAATTGTTAGTATGACTTCAAATTCAGTGAAGTTAAATAACACATAAATATATCTTTAAAGCCAAGGACAATTTAAGCTCTGTCCTGATAGTGTTGTTTTCCTCAATCATTTCCATAAATTCTGAACACATATATATAACACTAAAAATAAACTCCACAGAAGGCTGGGGCTGAGCACCTTTTGTTTCTCTTAAAGTTTTGAAGATATACACAAGTTATACTTCTGGTGATCTTTTCTTGACAACCCTCCTTGTTGCCTTCAGGAGTGAGTGGATTCTGCGTTAATAGCGATACTTGTAAGAATTCTTACGGTATATAGCTCAGTGTAGATTCATCTTCTTCAATCATGTTAATTCCCATGAAGTTACCTACTACCCACAATTTGCCTTGAATTGGGCATCCTTGCAAGACACTAATCTGTGTTAAAATATAGTTGATAGAAACTTGCTTGATACTTTATTTCACTCAGTATGAAATATTAATGTGATGAAACAGGAAAAGGAGGCATTTGGAATTGTTCCATTATATACTGGTATGCTAGCACTAAGTTTCCCGTTCATGGAGACACTAAGCTGAAAAATTCCAGTGATCCTGCGGGTGATTAATTTTGCCTCACCTTTCTTTTTTTGCATTTTATTGGGGAGGTATAATTCCAGTTGCACTAAACTGTAGATTTGAATATTTGGTTAAAGACCCCCTCCCAGCTTTGTCACAGTTCAGTAATAAGTTATAATTAAAATAATTTGTAAAGTTGGTTTTATTTCTTTTGAGTCCTTGATGTATTCCATACTACAAATTCTATGCATTCTTTAGATTGTCTTTTGATGCCTACATACTGGCCTCAGATTGAATGAAGCCCATGCCACTGAAAACAGGAAAAAATCCCATCAGCCTTTAACAGACAAGCCCCACACTAAAATTATGGTGCATGTGGAATGAAGGATGTGCGGGACAGGGTTCTTTCTCTAGCTGTTTGACAGCTAGTGTGGAAGAGGAAATATTGCATGTCAAACTGCAGGATTTTCTGATTATTAATTTCAAAGTTTGTTTTTGCTTAAAAGCACATATAGGATTTTATTTTATACTTCTGGTAGGTTCAGGAAAAGAAGTCCTGCTAACTTTGCTCAAATAAGTTAGGCAGTAAAGTTTTGGGGAAAAAAAAATTGAAACCAAAGTATTTATAAACTCACACTGTAATATAAGCTTAAAATAATCTTACTTAGGAATTCAGTTGAGATTACTCAAAGCAAAATGTGTTTGTGGCAGCTGTTGCATTGGAGATGTAGTTTAAACATGAAGAATATTCAGAAATTGCAAACCTCATTCTCAGGAAGGCTTTTTTCATTTTATTCATAGTTGTGGCATATTCAGGGTTATTCATTTATTGTTAGTGTAATAAAGACAAAAGGGATATTGCATCTGTATTTTCTAGAAATGGATTTATATCTGCTGTGGTTTTGTCAGTCTATTTCATATCGTTTCAAAAGAATAAAAACACATTTTCAAAATGTTTGTTCTTGACAGGTGTAGAATGAAATAATATGTTTCCAAGCACTAAGGGAAATAGGTGAAAGTAACATACAGAAAATAATACAGTTATTTTTATTTTTAATCTCAAAATAATAAACAGGAATTAATTTCTCATGTGGTTGCCAGCGCTTCTTTTGTTTTAATGATGTAGTAGCATTAGTTTCTAATCTTGTAGTCAATATGCTTACAGCAAGAATATTTCTACACTGTCCCATAAGTAAAAATCTCTTTTTACAGAAGCAGAGAGTAGATATTTTATGAGATGTTTTCATTATTTATTAGATCATAATTTAATAGATGTTCAATAGACTCTAGATTTTTTCTAAGTTGCATGCTAAATTCTTACAAAACTTCTTTACTGACCAAATCACTGTTACAGATTTACGAAAAATAAACATCATCCCTTTAACATGGCTGTTTTATTTTTTAGTCTAATTCTATATCTGTGATGTAAAAAGCGTGTACAGCCAGTAGTATAAACGAGCTGATGTAAGTGGTGTTTCACTGATTTAATTGTCAAAAGTTTTATTTTTTGTCAGCTACCTTTTGTATCTGTCCTCCATTCTTAGGATGTTGATGCCAGTCACTTCTTGCTTGAAAAAGTCATCTCAGAAATAAAGAAAAGTCTGTCTTGAATGACCCAGGCATTTACATCAACTGTGATCACAGCAGAGTTGTCACCCCTTGACCTGTTGCTAGACCTTTTGCAAGATCTGTTACTGCTTTTCAGCTTTTCTTTACTGTACTTGTTAGATCTTGAATTATTCTGGGAAACAGTTTGATCCCCAAATTTATGGCAACTGTTGCTGGGCAAGAAAAATTTCAAACTAAAACCAAACAAAAGCTATTTTCGTTTTTGATACAGAAGCGTGTGTAAACAGCTGCAATGTTCTGTTCATTTGCCTGCTTGGCTTCATCAGTTCTGTTTGTAGGGCAGAACAAATAAACAGGACAGAGCAAATACTAGTGTTTTAAATAACCTCTCTCCATTCAGATGTTGGTTTTCAGTTGTGACGAAGTGGTAAACATAAAAGAAGAAAAATGGGTGAAAAGTCCTGCAGTAAAACAGTGACTTTCTTGCCTTAGAAAGTCTGTCTGTGTTCTTTGTGTCAAGGATTTAGGCAGATGGCTAAAACCTTCCATTTCTCAGGTTTTTATTGAACAAATACGATTTAGGTGTAGACATTGTGCAAGCAGTCTAGTATATCCATGGCTGGGAGAATGGAGAAGGTGAAAAAGGATGAGGAGAAGGGAGAGGAAGAAGTAGATGGGGTTTGAGGTACAAAGAACAATCTCTGGCTTCTGAGCTTTTCTCCTGCTGTTTTACCCAGCTGAACTCTAATCTCATGGAGATACTGCTAACGTCATCTTGTTTCTGTGGTCTGTAGCATGTGACAGGCTTTCCCAAAGCAGATCATTTGTGTGTATCCGGATGGCCTGGTGTCAGCAGGAGTGTCTCACTTCATGATGAAAAAAGTGGTGCTTCTCCTCAGTTCATCCCTGCTATGAAATTTGAAGCATTACATGACCTCTGAAAATGAGCAGCAAACTGTCGTGTCACATGAACCAGAACAAAGTACTCCATTAAATCAGCACTGACCCTTAACCTCACAATACACTGGAGAGTGAAACTTGGTCAGGCTGTAAGATTGTGCCCAAGAAATGAGAAGAATATTCAATTTCAGATAACCTCTGCGGAGCAACTTGGATTAGTAGGTAGCATTGTGTAACCATCTTCCACAATACAAAGTACGGCTTTCAGCTGAGGTGACCACTAAACACAATTTAAATGTTGAGATTAAAATCAAGCTATGTAGGTTGCCTTTAATCAAACCAGTAGCTGACCTCCCCTGAACCTGCAGCAGAGTGTTGGACTCAACTGAGCTCAACTTACTGTTGACAAATTAAGAGTAGATGACTACAGATTATCCCAGCCTGCACCCACCTGGCGAAGTATTTGAACTCTTGTGGCAACCCCCTCATATTAGGCCTAAACTGAGATTAAATAGCCATAATGAACAGAAGAGCTATGACCACTCTCAATCTTTGAGAAGCACAAAAGGACTGGGGTTGACCTGTGAGGAACGCTAGCAGAATATAGCAGCAGAATATGGCCACAAAATAGCGAAGCGAGAAGAGGCCTAACATGGACCTTAAGTATCTTCTGTGCATCAAATTAAGGGACTGGGGAGCATAAATTTAGAGGTCCCTATTGCACGGTAACTGATGAAGGAGAGCAAGGGAGGCCCAAAATGGTCTTCAGAGACTCCATAACAACAAATGAAAGCTAGAGATGGCCACAAATTACCCTGTGCTATTAACCAGATTTAAGGTTGGCCTCAAGTGACCCTAAGGAAATGTGGTGTGGATTAACTCCAAGTAAACTCTGGGCACCAAAGGAGGGCAGACTGATCTCAAATGGTAATTTTGGGTAACTAACTGGAATTAAGGTTGATCTCAGATGCTCACATGCAAGTTAGTCAGTTCTGAATTTGACTTCACATAGCTTGTGGAATGAAAACAAGGCTAGGATGTTCTGGGGCAATTTATTGGGTGTAAAGCTGATCTTAGATGAGCCCTGGGCTCAAACAAGGAGCAGTTGTGCCTCAAGTGACCCCTGTAAGTAATCAGAACTCATGTTTACCTGAATTTATCTAGGCAACAACCATCCAGGTGACCTCAGATGACCTTGCAGTGAGAATTGCATTTCAGATTGAACTCAGATGACCTCAGAGAGGAAACAAAGGCTATGATTGACCTCTAATGACTCCTACAAACCAAATGATGTCCAGGTTGATCTCAAATGACAAACTAAGCAATTAACTGGGTCTCAGGTTACCTTATATGACCTCTGTCACTAAGGCCTGGCTGCGCTGACCTCACATGAACCCTAACAAGCTATGTGGTTGACATCAAGTGAACCTTCGCTGTTTAATTCTCAGCTGACCTTAAATGATTGCTCTTCCTTCAATTGAGAACAGTGTTGACCTTAAAGGACTTCTGTGAAGGTAACTGGATGTCATATGGACCTCAGATGATCCTGGGTTCTAAACAAGAGCCTAGTTGACCTTAGACAACACCTTGCATATACCTGATTCTCATGGTGATGTCAGCTAAACCCCACCCCAGACAGGTTAATTTGCCCTCAAGTTGACCTCAGATGACCTTCCTGAATAGCTATAGTGACCTCCAGTGGTCACAGGCAGATTAATTGACTCTCATTTAACCTCAAATTACCCCAAGCAGGTACTCGGGTTTCATGTTCGCCTCAGATGAGAGCCTCTAAATGTATTTTAAGGTAATTTCAAATGACCCGTAAGGAGGAAATGGCAGCTGATGATTGGCCTTGAGTGATCCCCAAATAGGTAAGTGGCTCTTATGCTGATGTCAAATGACCCCAGACTCTTGGCCTGAAATGATCTGTAGGGAACTAAACAGATCTCAGGTTTGTTTCAAGTGACTCCTAGGAAGCACACAAGGACTTTGCTGATCTCAAATATCCCACTGTCAACTGGTTGCATCTCAAGTTAACCAGATGGTTCCTGGACAAAAGATGAGGTCTGTTTTCACCTGGAATTGATATCAAGGTAGACCTCATACTATACCCATGAAATTCACTGGGTCTAAGTTAAGACTTTAAATGACCTACTAGGCAGAAAATAAGGGTTGTGATTGACCTTATGTGACTACCTTGCATAGGTAATTGGCTCTGAAATTGACCTGGTCATGCGGTAAGAGCTGGCTGACACTGAATGACCTCTGTGCAGCTAATTGCATCTCACATTGACCTTGATCTCTGTAGAGCAAATGACAGCCAAGACTGTCCTCAACTCAAACACAGATTAGCTCAGTCTGTAATTGTCCTCTGAAGTTCATCTAGTCCATCTCTCTTCACAAGTCAGTTACAATTAGATCGTGTTGGTCACACCCTTTACCAGGTAAATTTTGCTTTTTTTCCAGCAAAGGTGATTTCACAACTTTTCTTGGCAATCTGTTCTTGCTTTTTTCCTTTAAAAAAGGTTTCCATGCATTCAACTGTTAATTTCCTTCATTTCAACCTGTGTCCATTGCAGCTCTTGATGGCTACATTTTCTGCTGACTTCATTCCTGCCTGTTCATGTGCTGCTTGCTGCCACTAGCTCTGATTGCCAGGCACTGCTGCAATGATGGGGCAGCTCTGGTGTCGAGGCACAAAGAGGAGGCCGCAGGTCATTGTCTAGCTAGGCATGGAGCAGGTGCAGGTAGAAAGCAAGCTTGAGGGCCTTGGCTCTTAGGGGAGGAGACAGTGTCCTCCAAAGGCCCATTGTCACATAGCTCTTTTCATAGCAATCTTATCCCAGATCACTGTACCAGAGCAAATGCAGTTTAGCTATAAGTGAAGGGAAGAGATTACAGAGCCTGCTAGCACCCTAAGACCCTGACATACTTTTTGCCACAAGTCACTCTGTTAACTCTTGTTAGCTTTTTAGTTCACTAAAAATGTAGAATCATAGACCTTTTATTTGTTTCACTGAAAACATCAGGTCCTTTTCTGCAAAGAACTCCTAACCCAGCTGGCCTCCAGCCTGTACAGCTACATGGAGCTAGTCCATCCCATGTGCAAGCCTTTACATTTGCTTTTGTCACACTTTACAATGTTCCTGCTCGCCCTCTTGTCAGAGAGACACAGACAATCTGTCTGTCTGTCAAATATTTGATGTATCAAGCGCTTAACTTGTTATCCTACGTTAACTTGCTAAGAGCACACGCTGTCCAGTCATGCTGGTTGTATATCTGTAATTTTACATAATTTTTGGCAGACATCCTAACAACTCTTGATCCTGGCTTGCCTGTTTGAGATGATGCCCTGTGGTTGGTACTTGGACCTGTGAACCAGAAGCAAACTGGACCTACGGCTGACTTCAAACAACTGCAGAGTTGCAAAAAAGATTTGTTTTCTGCATGGGACCACAGTGCATCAAAATGAGGGCAGTGGTTTACTTCAAATGATCTCTGATCAATAAAATATGGTTAGCACTTAAACTGAAAGAATCTCTGCCTAACAAATTGGTGTCATATCTGAGCTCCTTCCTCTGTGTAGTGTATTTAAGAAGAGTGCAATGAGAGAGAGCTGG